AAATCACAGCCATTCAGAACAGCGTGTGGGCGGAGTCTCTCTGTGAAAGCGCACTCGCATTGGAAATGGGTAAGGACATAATCAAATCAAGAAACAACATTATTAAAAATCTAAACATTAACAAATTATACTCATTGACTAATTTTGTTATGAAGTACAGTTGCATAGAATTCATTTTGAACGCTGTATTATATGCTTTTAAAATCTGAGGTAAATTATCCGTAATCACTATAGTTACCTATTTTTAACCAAATATAAATAATGTGTACTCATAAAGAAATAATGTGTACGCAAGTGTAATATCTCTGTGTGGGCGGATCGGTCAGCCGCGACGTCGCAGAAATAGGAACCGTTTCGAAATTAGAAACTTCGTGTGTCGCCGTCACGTCTGGTTAGGACAAAAACTCTGATTAACATGGAAAAGCTACCTTTTATCGAGTGTCATCGCGTGTAGTTAGGACACGGTGTGACATCACAGGACGGATCGGCACTTCAGCGTGACATCAGATCGTCGCGGATTGATTATTTTAACATTCATGTTAATTAACGCTGTGCAACGATTAATCGCATCCACAATAAAAATGTGTGTTTACATAATTTACGTGTCTGTCCTGTGTATAATTTTGAATATACAAACGTATGCATATATAAGAAATATTTTCATGCATATATACACACACACTTGTACAGGGGTTGGACAATGAAACTGAAACACTGGCCAATGTTGGAGGTTTCACATCTATATGCCTGGCGGCCAATCTTCAGAGTAAAGCACGGGTGGATCAGTGATGGTTTGAGCTCCAATATCATGACAATCCTGATTGTATTTGATGGACACGACACTGCCGAGGACTACCAAACCCTTCTGGAGGATCATGAGCACCTGATGCTCAAACCGTGTATCAGCATGATCATGCACCAACACACACAGCAAGACTTGTGACAGAAGGGTTTGATGAAGATGAAAGTGACGTTGAACATCTCCCATGGTCTGACAGTCACCAGATCTGAATATTATTGAGGTGTTTGAGGAGCGAGTCCACCAGCATCATATAGTGACCTGGACACTGTTCTGGAAGAGGAACGGCTCATAATCCCTCCGGTCACTGTGAAGGACTTCTATCTGTCAATTGGTGCTGTATTTGGATGCAAAATGAGGCCCTCACCATTCTAACAAATTATTGTGTTGTAAAACCAGGTGTTTCAGTTTCATCGTCCAACCCCTGTACTTAATATAAATATATTATATATAAATAAAAATATTAATACATATACATACATGTGTGTATTTATATATACAAAATAATTATATACAGTACACACACATATTATGCAAACACACTTTTATCTTGATGTGATTATTCGCTAACTCGTTTGAGCGATTAGCCTTCTGTGGACGAGCAGGCCGGCTGTGATTGGCTGAAACTCACTGATCTGGTTGAGTGTTTCCTGTGGGATCCAGCTCATGTCCACATCATTGTGGTTGGAGGTTCCCATCTCGACTTTGGGTGCCGGCCGCCGCCTCTGCACACACACACACACACACATCAGTAACTGAGCACACATGAAGACACTAGCAGCTCATGATGATGATGACCTTACCTTGCGTGACTCAAGCAGCTGATGAAGGCCGACCACCAGAAGCAGACCGAGACCCGACAGGAACACGTACAGGAAGATCCTGGACACACAAACACACAAACACGTGAGCACAGCGCCACCTGCTGCCGGAACACAGAATGAGCCGCACTAAAGCCTCACGTCTCTCCGTCCAGACCGTCCTCTCTCTCGGTGATGGTGACCGTCTGGTTGAACACGGCGTCCTGGAACACGTTCCCCTGAAACAGAGAAAGGAAAGAGTGAGGAAGAGGAAGTAAACAGCAGTGAAACAGGAAGTGGCGCGACTCACGCTGAGGTCCCTGTAGTTGAGGTTGATGACGAGGCCGAAGGGTCTGCCGCCCATGGGCTCGGCCGGGATGAAGGAGTACTCGAAGGTGGCCTGGCGCTGAGGAGGAACCTCGGTCCCCAGCTGGAGCGCCGTGAAGTTCTGGATGTAGAACTGGAAGTCCTGCGGGTAGCGGAACGAGGCGTCCAGCGAGTCCACGATGAAGTTCTCCGAGCCTTTGTTGGTGAATCCCAACAGGAACTTCACGATGTTGTTGGCGGGAAAATCTGACATTTGGAAAGAGAAGAAACGCTCATCAGTCTGTGTGTGTGTGTGTGACCATTAGAGGGGTCACGATTTCGATATTAAATCGAAATCGATCGAAATTAATTCAATGGTATCAAAATCGAAATAAAAAATGGTATCGCCCCATGTCACGTCCGTGATGGAAAGTTCGGATCGTTTTACTGACTCTATTGTTCAATCTCGTTCATCAAAATTAACTAAACTTTTTTTCTAGTCATTTCAGGGGCTTTAAATGTTATACTATTAAGTTATGTTACTTGTTTTTGTTATATTTTAAATTTGGCAATGGTGTAGTGTACATTGTGAACAAATTTATATTGCATAATGCATAAATGTGTAGTCTAAAAATTGCATAGCAATCTGCGCTTTACTTTTTTTTTTTAAATCGAGAATCGAATCGAATTGTGACCTTAGAATCGATAACTTAATCGAATCGAGGATTTGGAGAATCGTGACACCCCTAGTGACCATTATTATGAAATGAAGCCATTTATTGAACCTTTAAACACGTTTGCGTGCGTTCAAGTTTGATTCATCAGGCTTTTATGGCTCATATAGTCTAATATAGTGAGAATATGGAGGAAAAAAGACCAAACTGAGCAAAAGCATGGAGTTTGTTGTAGATGCTGATATTTATATGAATGCAAATCCTTATATAAATTCATATAAATATCATCACTCTAACGTCAATGTCTTAGTGAGATGAAATTTAAATGCTTAGTTTTATGGTCAAAGCTTTGTAGTTTTAAAGGGATACTCCATTTTTTTGGAAATAGGCTCATTTTACAACTCCAACAGTCGAGTTTCACCGTTTTTGAATCCATTCAGCTGATTTTCTGATATTTATAATATCAGTAACCAGACAGTTTCTGGTTTAATTGACTGCCATAGTAGGAAAAAAATATACTATGGAAGTCAATGAGACCAGAAACTGTCTGGTTACTGATATTCTTATAAATATCAGAAAATCAGCTGAATGGATTCAAAAACGGTGAAACTCGACTGTTGGAGTTGTAAAATGAGCCTATTTCCAAAAAAAGTGGAGTATCCCTTTAACACAATGATGATTGAGAGATGAACTCATAACCCTTCCTCAAAAGCCTGAACATGTTTGATACTACAACATGTAGATGTATAGTTGCTTCAGTCCAGCTGAAATATATCTAACAATATCAAAGTTATTCTTGCGTTTACTTGATAAATCAGAGCCGATGTGACACAGAAAGACACGAGCATTGTTTGTGCAATTGCACTGAAAGACTTTTACTAGATAAAGTCTGAGCCAGAGGTGCCCCCCTTCACAAACACACACACACACACACACACACACACACAAGCTTTAACGGACCGACTGCATGTCATGTGGGTTAAAAAAAGAACTTAGAAACAGAGATTGTTTATATAGTCTTAATAAAAACACTGGACTCTCCTCTGATTGGCCACTGCATTCGGGAAACCAGCAGATAGAGATATACTGAATGAACCTGAACATCACAATAATCACTGATAAAACTATAAACTCTAAAATACTCCTTATAGCTCTAACCATCGCCAAGAAAACTATCCTCATGAACTGGAAAACTCGAAATAACTCATCTGACTGGACTGGACTCATATGATTGGACTGGACTCATATGATTGGACTGGACTCATCTGACTGGACTGGACTCATCTGACTGGACTGGACTCATATGATTGGACTGGACTGATCTGACTGGACTGGACTCATCTGACTGGACTGGACTGGCGTGCTTTAGCTGCATTTTCGGAAGATTATTCTTACTTGTAGATGAAGAAACATCAGCACTCCTTTTCAGCGACCCTGTTGATAACCATTCATCCATGTGTAAATAACGGTTACAGTGACAGTACGGTAGACACACTGCTGGATTATAACAGCCAGCTTGAGAGGGAATGTTTATTTCTTGATATTATATATGGAATTATATTTCATTAAACATTTGCTCATAATAAGAAAGTACATAACAGTAACTGGCGACGCACAGGGTGAAACCCACTGGTCTAAACTCTCACTCGTCCACAGTGTGTGTGTGTGTGTGTGTGTGAGACTCTTTACCTTCTCCTTTGACGAAGAGGATGGTGGTGTCGGCGTTGGGTGAAGCCTTCATCTCTCCCACCAGAGCTTCATCTTCCTCTTCCTCCTTTTCTTCAGTCTGAGGGACGAGACCAACACATGAAGTCATGAGCATTAGCCAATCAAACACCAGATGATATTCCACCTGACCCCTACTCCTCTAACCCCTCCTCCTCCCCGTACCCCTCCTCCTTGGACTCCTCCTCCGCCGACTCGTTCAGCGTTCGTTTGTTCGTTCTCGCACTAGTTCAGCGTTCGTTCGTTCTCTCACTAGTTCAGCGTTCGTTCATTCGTTCATTCTCTTACTAGTTCAGCGTTCGTTCTCTTACTAGTTCAGCGTTCTTTCGTTCTCTTACTAGTTCAGTGTTTGTTCGTCTCTTACTAGTTCAGCGTTTGTTTGTTCTCTTACTAGTTCAGTGTTTGTTCGTTCTCTCACTAGTTCAGTGTTTGTTCGTTTCTCACTAGTTCTGCATTTGTTTGTTCGTTCGTTCTCTTACTAGTTCAGCGTTTGTTCGTTCTCTTCTAGTTCAGTGTTTGTTCGTTCTCTTCTAGTTCAGTGTTTGTTCGTTCTCTTACTAGTTCAGTGTTTGTTCGTTCTCTTACTAGTTCAGTGTTTTCATCGTCCTCCACCTCGGCTTCATCATCCTCATCAATCACATCATCAGCAGCGTCTTCATCCACAGCATCTTCTTCCTCAGTCGCATCCTGAGCCGAGACGACCGGTCCTGAACACACACATAGCTGGGGATCATTTTCAAGTCTAACACACTCTCTTACACACACTCATGCACGCATTCACACACATACCTGGAGATCATTATGAAGTCAGTCACACACACTCACTAAAACAATCACACACTCTCTAACATACTCAATATCCCAACTCTTGCTCACACACACAAAACAATAACACAAACAAAAATAATCACACACACAGGACTGAAATCAGTGTATTCTCTCAGTAAACTCACTCCTGAAACTTTACTCAACTGATGAGGTGTTATACTATTGAGCGGTGTCCTTGTTACAAGTTCTGGGTAATATTAATTAACCGCATGTACTTACAATATGATTAGGTTATTCGCTTGTAATTATGTATTATGTAAAGGTGTTACTATAATAAGTTAACGTAAACAGTGTTGATTCCAGTCCTGTGCTGATGTGTTTATAGCTGAAGGACACGTCACACACACTCACACACACGCTTCAGTCTCCAGAAGAGCCCGAGCGCCTCATAACGAGCCTCTATAACCGGTTATCGATGGTTCACCGCGGACTGATCGAGTTATGGATTATCACGTCACATAAAAGAGACTTTAAGGAAGCTCGGCCTGACCGAGCGCGTTACACTCACCCTTCATGAGGAGCGTCGCGGGGAACGCCAGTAAGAGCAGCAGCAGCATCTTCTGCAGGAGTTTCATGGCTTCGGACAGACGAGAATGAGGAGCAAATGACAAATTACTACGATTAAAGGAGAATACGGGAGGGAGAACCGCTGCTGGACTGTGAATGAGCCACACACTGACGAAGAGCCACACTGCGCATGCGCCTCATCCGGGACAATGATGACGTCTCACGTACAGAGCCACGTGTCGCTTTGGAAATCAAATGAGCGCAAGGAAGATCTGACAATGGGGCGGGGCTTTTGGTGGGTTTGCGTTTTTAATAATTTTATTTTGATCTATTTGGTGTGTATTTTCGAGTCAGCTAGATTTCAAGTTTTTTTTTAAATTGTCATTATTCAGGAGTAAAATGTTTTTCAGCGGGCGTTGTCACGTGATCTCTGTTACATTTCTCACGTTGGAGCAATCAGTCATTTGCGATTAGTGGATTTGGACTTTTCCTTAAAACATTTTAACAACTTGTTACTGTGGATACATTAGATTTGCATATCATGAATTAGTGCTTGGAATAAGTACGTCTAAAAGATAATACGGTTTAATGTGCAAATGTCACATCAGACAGAGAAATGATTCTGCTTCTGCTCAGCGCCCTCTGCAGGAGGAGGAAACGGGACACTCACTGCGCATGCGCCTCATCAGAGACACGTGTCGCTTTCTGTGGAGATTCATCCTCAGGCAGGCCATTAATCAGTCAAAACGCTGGACAAAGCCTTTTATTTTTATGCTTTCAATACACGTGAAAAACGACAAGTCAAATAATGTTAACAGAAAAGACAGTGATGTGAGTAAATAGATCAAAAGAGAGGAATTATAAGTAAATCAAAGTAAAAGCACTTTCAGTGAACAGCAAAAAACACTTTCTCTCACTCGTCCATCCCCTGCTTTATCATCATATCTGAGTTTATGCGCTATTCTGCAGGAAAACACTGATCTGGACCATATCAATCAGGGGAAATAATAAAAATGTACAGTTCTGACTGTCAGCGGGTGAAAGATAAACCACAGCCTGATAGGGTCAGAGGTGAGATAGGGTCGTGATGACATCACCGTGTGTTTGCTGAAGCTTCTGCTGACATTTGGTTAGACCTACTCTAAATTTTGTATAGAATATCTTGACCCTCATTTTCTTTATTTATTTATTTCCCCCCTTTCTTTATTTTAGATAATCATACACTTGTGTCAAGATGACTCTGTACATATTGTTGTCATATTTTGTACAGATATGTTTGCAATTTTGTAACAGATTTGTATGTTATGTGCTATGATTGTCATCTTTGTTTGTTCCTAAGCATAATAATAATAATAAAAATAAAAAAGAAGCTTCTGCTGACAGATAAACATCAAACTCATGCGACTGGTTCAAGATTAAAACATAGGCTACAAGCATTCGTTTCCGGGTCAGCTCGTATGTTACGCTCAAACGGGGCAGATCAACTTTACTGTTTTTTGGGGGGTAATTTTTGTGCTCTTCAGGGGTTTTCTATCACTTTAGGGGTTCTGGGTCCAAATTCACCTGCCCAAAACAGCCTATAAATCTGTCAATCAGCTTGTTTTCTTTCTGTGAGAGAAAGACACACTCTCACACATAAACACACACACACTCTTGAGTTGTAGCTTGAGCTGATCAAGAACTGCACCCGCTGACAGTTGAACCTCCAGAACCTCTCGCTTCATCCTGAGCAAACATCCCGACTCATTCACCAGCAAACACAACCTCCTTGTGTGTGTGTGTGTGTGTGTGGCATAAAAAAACCCGCCGTGCAACGCAAATCTTATTGTCATGCTTTGCAATTACAAATAAAATAATAAAAGATAATTAGTGTCAATTACTTCAAGCTGTTCCGCTCGCCAACATTAAAGAGGTTAAAAGAGGATAATATCATCAAACTCTCATCAAAGAAATGAAGCTCATTATAATCATCATTAATCTGAGTTTCACCAGAGAACGTCTAATTGAAGAGAATTGGCACTGGTTGGTTACTTCCGGGTTGTGGACTGGCTGCAGTAACGCGTCTCTGTCCATGCGGGGGCGCTCGCGGTCGAGTGCAGAATGAATGGGAGTCAATGGGGAAGAAATCCACTTTTCTCAGGATGTAATTTTTTGTCAAGTAATTTGAAAGTTGCATTCAAAAGGGAGGGCTAAGATAATACACTCAGCTGAAAATTGCATTTTTAAGTTTTCTTATCTGTTCTAAAAATCCGTTCAAAAACGCGATGACGTCACACAATAGCAGAATGCTAGCGTGATCCGGCCAACAACGGCCTAACCTGTAAGAAATCAAACGGACATAAGTACTGGTTCATTCGACTTTTGACCTATAATCTATATTGAACTTGCGGAATCAACAATAAAATCGATGTTGATTTAGCGACAAGCAGGTGAAAGAGACACATTTAGCCGTTTAGCCCCATAGACTCCCATTCATTCTGCTCTCGCCCGTGATCACCCCCAGTGGAATTATAATGGAACTGCAACCAGGATGATCCACAACGGGGCTAATCCGTTAGGCTCTCCGTTAGACGGGCTCTGGTTTCACACTCATGCCCAGAATCTAATGATCAGCATGTGTGGTTAACCCATCTGACATCACTTCCTCTTCACAGAGAGAGGAATATACAGTAGGTTAGTGTGTGAAGAAATGCGTGAGTGTGTGAGTGTTTGTGAGAGTGTGTGTGTGTGTGTGTGGCTCTCAGTTGAAGCTCTGCACGTAGTTGGCGGGGAGCATGCCGGATTTGCCGGTGCGCTGCACGGTCCCGAACATCCATCCCTCGTCGATGTGCTGAGCGTTAATGATCACGTCTCCGTCGCGGAAGGAAACCTCGTCGTGATCCTGAGCGGCGTAATCGTACAGCGCCCGATACACTCTCTGCAGAACACACACACACACGCATGAAAGTTACACACACATGACAGTCACATACACACACAACACAGCACACAAGACACACACACACACACACATGTATGAGAGTGTTACACACACGACAGTCACACCCACACACACACACGACAGAGTTACACACACAAGATTTAAGAATTTTTAGATATTTGGACTGAAAACAAGACAAAAATACTTATGTGAAAAAGTACTGATGTCTCCCTGTTTGTGTGTGTGTGTGTGTGTGTCTCACCATGCTGGCGGCGTGTGGCGGAGACTGAACGCTGCGAACGGCCTGTGTGTGTCCGTATCCCTGCTGGAGCTGCTGAGGATGATGGGACTGATGCTGGTAAACACCTGTGTGACGGACACACACACACACACACACACACATCAATCAAACACGGCAGGCGTCAGAGACTCGCGGACAGTGATCCACAGCAACTGGAGTGAGTGACACCATTCAAACACACACCATGAAGAACACGGATGCTTTATCTGTGATGGTGGTGCTTTACTGGGAATGAAACCAGGAGTGTGTGTGTCGACGGGAGTGATGAAACCAGGAGTGTGTGTGTCCACGGGAGTGATGAAACCAGGAGTGTGTGTGTCCACGGGAGTGATGAAACCAGGAGTGTGTGTGTCCACAGGAGTGACTGAAGCAGATCTCGGTGACGCCGGAGCTCAAACACACGCAGTGTTGGGGGAAACGCATTACAAGTAACTTGAGTTACATAATCAGATTGCTTATTCAATCATGCGTAACTTTTTCTCCTGCATCCTATTCTTGCGTTATCCAGAATATCAGCAGCTGAAGGGATTGTTTGAGTGGCGCCCTCTACTGTACACTACTATACACATGTCAATCTGTATTTCCTTCAGTCTCTATTATTTCACTTTTTATTTACATTTGTCTAAAAATATTACTTTTTTGTTACAAAAAACAAGTCCACCCCGGTGGGGGAAAGGTAAGGTAACGCACGTAACGCAAAAGTAAAGTAAGGCATTTAGTCACTTTATAAGGGTGTAACGCAATATTGTAACGCATTACTTTTTAAAGTAATTTTCCCCAACACCGCACACACGCGTGGTCTTGCCTGAACTGGATCTGCTGCACACGGACGCACTGCGATCGGCCCAGAGCTCTGAACCCAGAGAGCTGCACACCGACTGCGGGCCACGCTCTAACACACACACACACACACACACACACACACAGCGTTACGACACGCGTGATCCGCCGCTGACGGTCAGTGTATTGGCTGTCGGTGCGTCTGGTACCGGTCATCCTGCGAAGGCTTTTAGACTGAATGTTGTCCTCCACCGGGTCAAAGTCAAAGATGGATCCCGGATCAGTCCTCCAGACCCTCAGCTCTTCAGCGCAACACACAGGTCAAAGGTCAAAGGTCGAGAGGGTTGGCTCAATCAACAGCTTCAGGAATATGTTAGTCATGAACACTTGCTTCCAAATGTTTGGGCTCGGTATTCATCGAAGGCGCATTCAGATTATGAAAAGTGACATTTAAAATGTTGCAAAATAATCTATTTAAATAAATAATGTTCTTTTGAACTTTCTATTCAGAATCCTGAAAATAAAACTGTATCAGTTTCCACAAACTGATTTCAACACTGATAATAATCATAAATGTTTCTTGATCCTCATATCAGAGTGATTTCTGGGGGATCATGTGACACTGAAGACTGGAGTAATGATGATAAATTACAACTGAAAACAGATGATTTACATTATAACAATATTTCATTGTTTTTACTGTATTTTCAAATGTATGGTCAAATAAATGCAGCCTTGAAGACACTCTTTCAAAAAAATTAATAATAAACATATTGATTTCCAAATGTTTTTGATCAGTCGTGTGTGAAAGTGATGAAGAGATTAAAACAAAGATCAAATGATGATCGATTAAACCGATCATACTGAATAATGAAATGAAGAAACTTTATATCAGTGACGTCAACATGATTAACATCAAACATCCGTCTCTCTAAAATGTAGTAAAGTTCAATAAACAATCATATTAATATTAAAAAACATTTAAATAATGCCCTCATGAATATTCGAGAGTTGTGATGATGGACTGACCAGCGGCTCCTCCTGACCTGCGGTCCATCTCCACCACCTGCGGCTGGACGCCATGGTAACCGCCTCCCACCTGGTCTCCATGGTAACCTCCTCGCACCTGGTCTCCATGGAGACGTGCCATGTGCTGCTCATCGAAGGTGTGTGTGGCGCCGCGACCCCGCGTGCGCTCGAACTCCTCGTGATATTTGGCCTGAAAGACACACGGAGAGCGTCACACACACCATCAGAATAAAACACACACACACACCGTCACAATAAAACACACGTGCCTATTACGGTGCATTTGGTCTCTGATAAACACACACACACAGGTGTCTGTTACGGTGAGTTTGGTCTCTGATAAACACACACACACACACACGGTTTGTGAGTCTTTATTAGCACACGCGTGTTCGTTGCTGTGATGTCACACGCAGGCGTCGCCCAGTCCTGCTACCATGGAAATGGATTCCTGAGATTTGCGCACACGCCTCATCTCGGGCGTGTCCAGCTCTGAGCACGAGTGACCTTTGACCTCCTGCAGACCCCGCTGGTACTGAACCTGAAACACACGCGAGAGTCACTGTTACACTGAGTTTCCAAGATCGTGTGGATCCTTGATCTTCAAAGACTTTTCTGGAGATGATCTGTCATGTGGTGTGTAATAAAGCTGTTTTAAAACTCAAAGTGCAGATAAAAAACATTTTTGTCTCCTAAAAGAAAGAAGTGATTCTGAACTGAAACGAGTAGTTAATAATTCCAGTCTCACTTCCTGTTACAATGCAGCTAATTAGCATAATGCACGCCTCTGGTGTTGATTGGCTGAGCAGAATCTCTTAGCCCCGCCCTCAAACACTAGTGTATCTTAGACTGCGACTCGTGTTGTTCAGTGTGAGTGGAGATTATGAGGACATTACAGTGTTTCTGACCAATCACAGCAGAGCAACGCTCAGAGAGGCGGGGCTTAGAGAGACTGAATCTATTATGAGGACATTACAGTGTTTCTGAGCGTGGGTGAATGTGAATCTGTCGTAGGAGACTTAAAATAGGAAATATGTTGTCTGTGAGTGCGTGTGGTTCTTGCCGAGCTGATGTTCTGCTGGTTCTGTTTGACCCGCTCCAGTTCCGGAGTCACACCCACACTGACCGGGTCAAGCGCTTTCTTATATTTGACCTGCACGATGATAGTGGTGATGATGATGATTGATTGACAGCATGACGAACACATGTCGATCACACACAGACTCACGGCGCTGATGTTCTGCTGGTTCCGGCGGACCCGCTCCATCTCAGGTGTGTCCGTCACGGCTGTTCCCGATCCCACACACTCCCGGTACTGAACCTGCGAGCAACACACACACACACACACACACACCAACTCTCAGCGCATGTTTGTTTTAGCAACACACAGTCAAACCAACATTTATTTTGACACCATTAATCTCACATTATTACAGTTTATTTGCTATACTTTAGATCAAATATGACAGGAAATATGATATTTGACTGGTTTTGTCCGTCTCACACATGAATCATGTTGAATATCTGTCAGCTGTTAAATTAGATAATAGCAGTTTAGCTCAAGCAATGCTTCATGTTGTTCAGTGTGTGTGTAAAAAGAGCATTAGCGATTACAGAAAACACACTTCAGCAGTACATCATCAGGAATCATTATTGGTCACACACACGTTTGAAGAATATTTGGGTGTAATATGTCTCAGTTTACTAAATGATCTATAGTGTCCTGATCACACTAGTAATGTTTGGTTGGACTGTATATCCATATGTAAATGATATGCAGATGAGGTTATGCACAGTAAAAGGAGGCCTTGTGAGAGTGCATGTGTGTGTGTGTGACTCACGTCACTGGTGTTCTTGGCGTTTTCCCGGGCCAGTCGGATCTCTGGGGTGTCATTGAGCGTCGACGTCAAACCCTTCATCAGCCGCGAGTCCCACGTGTAGAAGAGCTGCACACACACTCACATGATCAACACTGAGCTCAATAATCCCTGTCTCGTGTGTGTGTGTGTGATGATCGTCACTCATTCTGTTCCCTGTTTTATTACTGTGAAGTAACAATTTTGAAACAATTTCCATTGAATAATGTGCTGTAGAAATAAAACTGACTTGGCTAGCAGTGGTGGAGGAAGTACTGAATCTCAGTATTTAAGTAAAAGTACAAATAACCAGATAAATATTTACTTTAGTAAAAGTAGAAGTAACACAATGACAACCATACTTAAGTAAAAAGTAAAAAGTACCTGATTTTAAATGTACTTTAAGTATTAAAAGTAAAAGTAGGCCTACTTGCATAACAATTTATTCTCTTAACGACTATTTCCTAATGATTAATAAAACATTTAATTCTAGCTCATTCAACCTACAGTAATACTCCTATAATGATGTTCAATAATGATGGAAAAAAATTGTTGTCACCATTTCTGAAACAAGCTTGCAATTAGGCAATATAAACATGCTTATCCTTACTATATGTTAATAACTATGTTCGACAGTAAACGCGATTAATTTATGGTGTAATTCTGAACCTCTTGGCTTGCCATAATCCTAACCAAATACACGTAAAAACATAAAAACAAATTTCCGGGTATAAATTGCACGATAAACACACTGCGTGCGAGATGCATTTAGTTGATGTATCTATGGCAACCAAACGTCACTGGTGAGACAAACGTGCAACGGACGGACGGTCAGATTACGGTTTGTCAGGGGAAAAACTGATCAGAAAATGTAACAGAAGTTGTAGAAATGTAGTGGAGTAGAAAGTAGAATAAATGTAGCAAAGTAAAAGTAAAAAGTATGCACTATTTATTCTACTTAAGTAAAGTACAGATACGTAAAAAATGTACTTAAGTAAAGTAACAAAGTATTTGTACTCCGTTACATTCCACCACTGGGTGCTAGTGATGGTCAGTGGTTCTGAGTGTGTGTGTGTGTGTGTGTGTGTGTGTGTCTCACTCCGCTGATGTTGCGCTGGTTGTTTTTCACTCTCTGGATCTCTGGTGTGTCTGAAGCTTTAGAACTCGAGGCCTTCAGTTGCTCCACCTCTCCGCGGTACTTCTTCTGCACACACACACACACACACACGGATGAACATCAGCTCTAGTCCTCTAACAGGTCCTCTGGTGCAGACGCTGTGTCATGTGACCTGGCTGTAGACGTCTCTCAGGTAAGCGGCGTGCAGAAGTGCAGGTGTGTCCGTCACTGTGGCGTATCCTCCCAGCTGAGACGCCTGCCTGTAGCTCACCTGGAACACACACACACACACAGACAGTCAGTGAGTCCGTGTCTGCCGCGCGCATGTGTGTGTGTGATCCGTCACTCACGTCGCTGCTGATCTCAGACGCGTTCTTGGCCCTCTGCATCTCCAGACTGTCTGATGTGACGTCGGATCTCTTCCCTCGGATCTCGCGCTCCAGATCCTTGCGATACTCCTTCTGCAGAGCAGAGACGGTCATGATGACGTTCAAGAGCAGAGACGCGAGTGTGTAAGTGTGTGTGAATGTGAGTGTGTGTACCTCACTGAGGATGTGTCCAGCGTTTTTCACCCGCACCAGATCCGGCGTTTCCTCCAGACCTGTCAGGCTTTTCCCTTTCACTTCCTGTTCCAGATCCTTACGATACTCCTTCTGTTCCACACACACAGAAATTAGAGCCAGACCAATTTATCGGTAGACCGATATTATCGGCCGATATTAGGCATTTTCCAAACTATCGGTATCGGCAGTTATAATGGCTGATAAATGAATATTTCAAAAATAAAATAAAAACAGACGAAACACGCTTGAACCATGTCATGAGTGTTGGAGATGTATAGTTTGTCCACCAGAGGGCGCTCTACACCGTTCCTGTTGGCAACACTCGTGTATAACACGCTGCTGATCCAGGTTGCAGGTAGCTTATAAGTCAAGTCAATGTAGGGACAAATTATTATTTTATTTATCAGAACTTTAATATATTTTGATGTTCCTCTGTTCTGTTGTGACAATAAAAGACACAAGTTTCTTTTTAAAATGCATTATGACATTATTTTAGTTAAAACTCATAAATAACTACAAATAACTAATGTTAGGGAAATCTGTTGATGTTTTGTTCCGGAAAAAAATAAAATAAAAATATATCGGCCGATATATCGGAATATCGGATTTTAAAATCAACAAATATTTGTATCGGTATCGGCCTTCGAAATCCTTTATCGGTCGGGCTCTAACATGACTCCTCTCATTCAATCAGATGCTCACTAGAATGAGGGTGGGCCTCCTCTCATCCAATCAGATGCTCACAAACACTCCTCAGACACACACACACACTCTCACACACACAGCAGGAGCTTCAGAGATGCTCACCTCGCTCATGAGGCTGCTGGCGTTACGGGCCGTCAGGAACACGGGCGTCAGATCGGCCTCCAGCAGAGCCTTCCCTTTGACCTCGCTCTCGTACTCCTTACGATACTCCTTCTGTGACACACACATACACACACACACACACACACACACACAGTCAGCAGCTCGATTCTCCTCAGACATGCAGACGAGCGTCAGCTCACGTCACTCTGGATCCACTGCGCTTCCTTCACACGCACACACGCACACACACCTCGCTCTGGATCCGCTGCGCTTCCTTCACACACACACACACACACACGCACACACACACACACACACCTCGCTCTGGATCCGCTGCGCTTCCTTCACACACACACACACACACACCTCGCTCTGGATCCGCTGCGCTTCCTTCACACACACACACACACACACACACACACACACACCTCGCTCTGGATCCGCTGCGCTTCCTTCACACACACACACACACACACACGCACACACACCTCGCTCTGGATCCGCTGCGCTTCCTTCGACACTTTATAGGTCTGCGTGTCCACAAACTCCATCTGGGACTTCCCTCGCTGCTTCTCATACTCCTCTTTATATTTCACCTGCACACACACACACACACGTGCTGTTGACTATCACAGGAATCAACAGTAGATCAATCCCATCATGCTTCATGTTCACCATACGATTATAATAGTTAACTAAAATGAAACCATAAAAAAGTTGTGTCGTGTGAAATAGTTCATGTAGAGTCAGCTGAACGGGTTCAGTAAGTGTGTGTATCAGCTGCGGGACCTGACTGTGCAGCGCTGCGTTCTCCTGATGGTGGCGCTGTTCCGCCGTATCCAGGGTGACGAGGCTCCGCCCTTTAGACGCCTCATACTTCTTCCTGTACTCCACCTGACGGACAGACAGTTCAGCCAATCAGAGCTCAGAGCTCGTACGGTGAATGGTGCTTTATAACGAGAGCGAGTGTGTGTGTGTGTGTGTGAGACTGACGTTGCTCTGGAGTTTGCTGGCGTGAAGCGCGTGACCCAGATGAAGCAGGTTCGGGAGATCAGTGACGGCCTCCAGCTTCTTCTGAGTGTACCTCACCTGCGACACACACACACACACACACACACACACACACACGATCAGAACACAACACAACACACACACACACACGATCAGAACACAACACAACACACACACACGCGATCATAACACAACACAACACACACACACACACACGATCATAACACAACACACACACACACACACACACGATTAGAACACAACACACACAGACACACACGGTCATAACACATCACACACACACGATCAGAACACAACACAACACACACGATCATAACACAACACAACACACACACACACACACGATCATAACACAACACACACACACACACACACGATTAGAACACAACACACACAGACACACACGGTCATAACACATCACACACACACGATCATAACACAACACACACATATACACATGATCAGAACACAACACACACACACACAATCATAACACAACACACACACACACACACACACACACACAAACACACTCCCTAAATGCCTCATGAGAAAGTCTCGGGCGCTGAGAGTGTTTCCATGGACTCCAGTGCAGACGAGCAGGAATCCGACACTCGTAACAGCCTTACTGACAAGAGGGAACAAATCATCCAGTGTGTGTGTGTGTGTGTGTGTGAGAGAGATCACCTGACTGGCGAGTGCCCCTGCGGTCTGTGTGTGTCTGAAGCTCACACACTCACTCGGGTTGTACTGTGGCTTCTGTCCTCTCTGATCCTTCTTGTAGTTCACCTGCAGTGAGAGCGACAGGAGACTGAGACCGACGGTTGAGCAGAAGTGTGTTAAACGCACTAGTTCTTCAGTCAATATAGTCATCGTTCAACTAAACTAACACACTTGACCTGCTTTAAGTGGCTTTTTCCCCTATATATATATATATCAGGGCTGGGTATTGAGACAAATTTCACAATTCGATTCGATTAGATTTCGATTCACAAGCTTGCAATTCGATTCGATTTCGATTCACAAGCTTGCAATTCGATTCGATTTCGATTCGATTCAATATTGATTATTTTGGATATCAGTTCCAATAAATGGCAAATTTTCTCAAGGAAATCAAATCTCTTAACTAATGCTGTAAACTATGGGAGTCTAGATGTAGCCTATAGACTTCATTAGCCTAATATGAAGGTAATAATGAACTGTTTTGTAGCTATACAAACACTTAAATTACACTTTTATTTATTTTTATAATAAGAAGATTATATGAAATATAAACATTTAAATGGTGGCTGTCATAAAAACTTGCCAGATTTATTCAAATATGCATTAAATATTGAAAAACATTAAGATTATAATGCATATGTACTATGGTGTATATATTTAGCAAAATGCTCCTCTCTAGAGTTATTTTTTCTAGCTGACTAACGAGTTTATGTGGGTTTTCTGAGGTAAATATGACGATACATTGATTACAAGCTGTTTAACTGACGTCTTTCCACGGTTGAAACGCTGATTGAGCGAATCAATGTGACATGATCCGGATTTGGATAAGTTGTACTGTATCTTTAACACACTTTCAGATGCTCATTCATGTTTATTTGGCGCTGTGACTGGTATTATTAAGCCGGAAGAGAGATCAGAGCGATCTCACGCCACAGCGACAAAACGCTATTTATGATTTTGAATTTCTAAAGAAAATGGACGTAATTTGAAAATTGAGACTTTGTTTCATATCAATAGTAACAAAGGACAAAGATTATTGATACAATGTCCCATTCATTCAAATGAAACAGGATGACTAATCGATTCTTGAGATTTAAAAATAAGAATCGATTAATATCGAGAAATCGATATTTATTACCCAGCCCTAATATATATATATTAATAATCATCATTCGAAAGCTTAAACACTCAAAATTCCTCTTGTAAATCCGTTTGACATTATGTTTTGTGTCAACTTCAATTTGCCGGTCAGCTGTGTGGCGTGTTGTATGTTGGGTATGAGCGTCACCTGACTGGCCAGCTGTGTGGCGTGTTTGGCGTGTTGTATGTCGGGTCGCTGCAGAAGCTCTCGCTGGTCAAACGCCTGCTCTTTACTCCTGTAGGCCACCTGTGAGGAGACACTCATGACATATAAACACTGGTGTGTGTGTGTGTGTGTGTGTGTGTGTGTGTGAGTGTGTCACTCACGTCACTGGCGAGTTTGCTGGCGTGAACAGCGTTGAGGATGTCGGGTCTGTCGGTCACATGACTGTATTTATGAAGTTCCTCTTTCCCTCTGCGATACTCCACCTTCAGCAACACAACAGAGCTCAGTTTCACCTCGGAGCGAGTGTGTGTGTGTGTGTGTGTGTGTGTGTTTACCTCGCTCTGGTGTTTGTTGACCTGTATGGCGTGTGTGACGTCGGGAAGATCCTTCATCTGTGTGTAGTTTGACTTGCCTTTCTCTGAGTTAAACTTCTCTTTATAGAGTTTCTACAGAGAGAATATTGATTATACACACGATACAACACTAACACACACTAATATTTGCATTGCTGAAAGCTAAGATGTCTGTTAATATGCACTGTCCCTTTTAAATAAATAAAAAATAAATAAATAATAAATAACTGACGTCACTCTGCTGTTTGGACACTTCTTTAGCGAACTGCGTCTCGATGGTCTGCGGCATCTGAGCGTAGAGACACACCTGAGCGTCCGGGTTACCCGAGTCCTTATAGCTCTTCTGCACACACACACACAGCAGCGTCAGTGGCGTGAATGTGTGTGTGTACCTGATTGTAGAGCTGTGTGTGTGTGTGTGTGTGTACCTGACTGTAGAGCTGTGTGTGTGTGTGTACCTGACTGTAGAGCTGTGTGTGTGTGTGTGTGTGTACCTGATTGTAGAGCTGTGTGTGTGTGTGTGTGTGTGTACCTGACTGTAGAGCTGTGTGTGTGTGTGTACCTGACTGTAGAGCTGTGTGTGTGTGTGTGTGTGTGTGTACCTGATTGTAGAGCTGTGTGTGTGTGTGTGTGTGTACCTGACTGTAGAGCTGTGTGTGTGTGTGTACCTGACTGTAGAGCTGTGTGTGTGTGTGTGTACCTGACTGTAGAGCTGTGTGTGTGTGTGTGTGTGTGTACCTGACTGTAGAGCTGTGTGTGTGTGTGTACCTGACTGTAGAGCTGTGTGTGTGTGTGTACCTGACTGTAGAGCTGTGTGTGTGTGTGTGTGTGTACCTGATTGTAGAGCTGTGTGTGTGTGTGTGTGTGTACCTGACTGTAGAGCTGTGTGTGTGTGTGTACCTGACTGTAGAGCTGTGTGTGTGTGTGTGTGTGTACCTGATTGTAGAGCTGTGTGTGTGTGTGTGTGTGTGTACCTGACTGTAGAGCTGTGTGTGTGTGTGTACCTGACTGTAGAGCTGTGTGTGTGTGTGTGTGTGTGTGTACCTGATTGTAGAGCTGTGTGTGTGTGTGTGTGTGTACCTGACTGTAGAGCTGTGTGTGTGTGTGTACCTGACTGTAGAGCTGTGTGTGTGTGTGTGTACCTGACTGTAGAGCTGTGTGTGTGTGTGTGTGTGTGTACCTGACTGTAGAGCTGTGTGTGTGTGTGTACCTGACTGTAGAGCTGTGTGTGTGTGTGTACCTGACTGTAGAGCTGTGTGTGTGTGTGTGTGTGTACCTGATTGTAGAGCTGTGTGTGTGTGTGTGTGTGTACCTGACTGTAGAGCTGTGTGTGTGTGTGTACCTGACTGTAGAGCTGTGTGTGTGTGTGTGTGTGTGTGTACCTGATTGTAGAGCTGTGTGTGTGTGTGTGTGTGTGTACCTGACTGTAGAGCTGTGTGTGTGTGTGTACCTGACTGTAGAGCTGTGTGTGTGTGTGTGTACCTGACTGTAGAGCTGTGTGTGTGTGTGTGTGTGTGTACCTGACTGTAGAGCTGTGTGTGTGTGTGTGTACCTGACTGTAGAGCTGTGTGTGTGTGTGTACCTGACTGTAGAGCTGTGTGTGTGTGTGTGTGTGTACCTGACTGTAGAGCTGTGTGTGTGTGTGTACCTGACTGTAGAGCTGTGTGTGTGTGTGTGTGTGTGTGTGTACCTGATTGTAGAGCTGTGTGTGTGTGTGTGTGTGTGTACCTGACTGTAGAGCTGTGTGTGTGTGTGTACCTGACTGTAGAGCTGTGTGTGTGTGTGTGTACCTGACTGTAGAGCTGTGTGTGTGTGTGTGTGTGTGTACCTGACTGTAGAGCTGTGTGTGTGTGTGTGTACCTGACTGTAGAGCTGTGTGTGTGTGTGTGTGTGTACCTGATTGTAGAGCTGTGTGTGTGTGTGTGTGTGTACCTGACTGTAGAGCTGTGTGTGTGTGTGTGTGTACCTGACTGTAGAGCTGTGTGTGTGTGTGTACCTGACTGTAGAGCTGTGTGTGTGTGTGTGTGTGTACCTGACTGTAGAGCTGTGTGTGTGTGTGTGTACCTGACTGTAGAGCTGTGTGTGTGTGTGTACCTGACTGTAGAGCTGTGTGTGTGTGTGTGTGTGTACCTGACTGTAGAGCTGTGTGTGTGTGTGTGTACCTGACTGTAGAGCTGTGTGTGTGTGTGTACCTGACTGTAGAGCTGTGTGTGTGTGTGTGTACCTGACTGTAGAGCTGTGTGTGTGTGTGTACCTGACTGTAGAGCTGTGTGTGTGTGTGTGTGTGTGTACCTGATTGTAGAGCTGTGTGTGTGTGTGTGTGTGTGTACCTGACTGTAGAGCTGTGTGTGTGTGTGTGTACCTGACTGTAGAGCTGTGTGTGTGTGTGTACCTGACTGTAGAGCTGTGTGTGTGTGTGTGTACCTGACTGTAGAGCTGTGTGTGTGTGTGTGTACCTGACTGTAGAGCTGTGTGTGTGTGTGTGTACCTGACTGTAGAGCTGTGTGTGTGTGTGTGTACCTGACTGTAGAGCTGTGTGTGTGTGTGTGTACCTGACTGTAGAGCTGTGTGTGTGTGTGTGTACCTGACTGTAGAGCTGTGTGTGTGTGTGTGTACCTGACTGTAGAGCTGTGTGTGTGTGTGTGTACCTGACTGTAGAGCTGTGTGTGTGTGTGTACCTGACTGTAGAGCTGTGTGTGTGTGTGTGTACCTGACTGTAGAGCTGTGTGTGTGTGTGTGTGTGTGTGTACCTGACTGTAGAGCTGTGTGTGTGTGTGTACCTGACTGTAGAGCTGTGTGTGTGTGTGTACCTGACTGTAGAGCTGTGTGTGTGTGTGTGTGTGTACCTGATTGTAGAGCTGTGTGTGTGTGTGTGTGTGTACCTGACTGTAGAGCTGTGTGTGTGTGTGTACCTGACTGTAGAGCTGTGTGTGTGTGTGTGTGTGGTGTACCTGATTGTAGAGCTGTGTGTGTGTGTGTGTGTGTGTACCTGACTGTAGAGCTGTGTGTGTGTGTGTACCTGACTGTAGAGCTGTGTGTGTGTGTGTGTACCTGACTGTAGAGCTGTGTGTGTGTGTGTGTGTGTGTACCTGACTGTAGAGCTGTGTGTGTGTGTGTGTACCTGACTGTAGAGCTGTGTGTGTGTGTGTACCTGACTGTAGAGCTGTGTGTGTGTGTGTGTGTGTACCTGACTGTAGAGCTGTGTGTGTGTGTGTACCTGACTGTAGAGCTGTGTGTGTGTGTGGTGTGTGTGTGTACCTGATTGTAGAGCTGTGTGTGTGTGTGTGTGTGTGTACCTGACTGTAGAGCTGTGTGTGTGTGTGTACCTGACTGTAGAGCTGTGTGTGTGTGTGTGTACCTGACTGTAGAGCTGTGTGTGTGTGTGTGTGTGTGTACCTGACTGTAGAGCTGTGTGTGTGTGTGTGTACCTGACTGTAGAGCTGTGTGTGTGTGTGTGTGTGTACCTGATTGTAGAGCTGTGTGTGTGTGTGTGTGTGTACCTGACTGTAGAGCTGTGTGTGTGTGTGTGTACCTGACTGTAGAGCTGTGTGTGTGTGTGTACCTGACTGTAGAGCTGTGTGTGTGTGTGTGTGTGTACCTGACTGTAGAGCTGTGTGTGTGTGTGTGTACCTGACTGTAGAGCTGTGTGTGTGTGTGTACCTGACTGTAGAGCTGTGTGTGTGTGTGTGTGTGTACCTGACTGTAGAGCTGTGTGTGTGTGTGTGTACCTGACTGTAGAGCTGTGTGTGTGTGTGTACCTGACTGTAGAGCTGTGTGTGTGTGTGTGTACCTGACTGTAGAGCTGTGTGTGTGTGTGTACCTGACTGTAGAGCTGTGTGTGTGTGTGTGTGTGTACCTGACTGTAGAGCTGTGTGTGTGTGTGTACCTGACTGTAGAGCTGTGTGTGTGTGTGTGTGTGTACCTGATTGTAGAGCTGTGTGTGTGTGTGTGTGTGTGTACCTGACTGTAGAGCTGTGTGTGTGTGTGTGTACCTGACTGTAGAGCTGTGTGTGTGTGTGTGTGTGTACCTGATTGTAGAGCTGTGTGTGTGTGTGTGTGTACCTGACTGTAGAGCTGTGTGTGTGTGTGTACCTGACTGTAGAGCTGTGTGTGTGTGTGTGTACCTGACTGTAGAGCTGTGTGTGTGTGTGTGTACCTGACTGTAGAGCTGTGTGTGTGTGTGTGTACCTGACTGTAGAGCTGTGTGTGTGTGTGTGTGTGTGTGTGTGTGTGTGTGTGTACCTGACTGTAGAGCTGTGTGAGCTCGCGGGCGAGTTGTGTCTCACTGGTTTGAGGCAGACGGGAATAAAGGCAGTTCTGCATCTCCTTTTTTCCATCAGCCTTATATTTGTTCTACAATCAAGAATATAAGAGGATGAGGATGAAGAAGATGATGAGAATGATGATGAGGAAGAGTGTATCACCTCACTGATGAGCGGCGCCAGCTCCTTCACAAACTGTGTGTGTAGCGTCTCGGGCAGCTGAGAGTACACACACTGAGACAGATCCTCCTGAGTCTCTCTGCGGTACTGATTCTACAACACACACACACATCATCATCATCACACACACATGCACACACACACACACACACACACATACGTACGTCACTCTGGAGATCCGCCATCTGTTTGGCGAACTGCGTCTCCTGTGTTTGCGGCAGCTGAGAGTACAGACTGCTGGAGATCTCCTGCTTGTACTTATGCTGAGAGGAAACAATCAGAGTCAAAATATGAGACAATTCACAGAGTCTTTATCCCGAGGTTTCCTGATGTCCGCCGGGCCCAGGCCGGATCCGGATGGAGGACGCAACGCATCCCTGAAGTGCCAGCAGAGATCACGACTCATCCTCAACAGACTCGTCTCGATCTTCAACCAGATGGAACTGGATAATATATTATATAATTCTGCCTGAATCATAATCATAATCATACACTGTTGGTTCGTTGGCCAGAGGAGAAGTGAGTTTTGGCTTTTGTCTTTAATATTCATCAGTATTATTGATCTCCTGCATTGACAGTATTATATGAGAACTGAACTGAGCTGGACCATGACAGAACGGCTATGTATATATATATATATATATATATATATTAGGGCTGTGCAAAAGTTAATTGCGATTAATCGCATCCAAAATAAAAGTCTGTGTTTACATAATATATTTGAGTGTGCTGTATATAATTATTTTGTATATATAAATACCTATGCATGCATGTATATATTTAAGAATTATTTGCGCTTGAATTCTGTATATATATATAAATACATAATCTATATTATATAAATATAAATATTTTATATAGGAATAACACATTTTCTTAAACATATACATGCATGTGTGTCTATTTATATAAATAATTATAAATAATTTATAATTAAAATTAAAATAATTATATACAGCACACACAAATATACTATGTAAACACAGACTTTTATTTTGGATGCGATTAATCGCAATTAACTTTTGCACAGCCCTAATATAAATTGACAAAATGATTAACTTCTTTGAGTGTGTGTGTGTGTGTGTGTGTGTGAGAGAGAGAGAGAGAGTGAGAGAGTGTGTGTGAGAGAATGAGTTTGTGTGTGTGTGTGTACTGTGAATCCCACTCACCTCGCTCAGTAGTTCAGAGGCCTGTCTGGCGTGTTTAGTCTCAGGCGTCTCAGGCAGAAGAGAGTACAGACTCACAGAAGCTTCTTTCTTGGCCTCCTCCTTGTATTTCCTCTGAAATGAAAGCGAATGTTTGACACACGGCTCACACACACGCGGCTGACACACGGCTCATGTGAGCGCAGTACCTGGCTCAGGAGGTCGGTGGCGTCTCTGGCGTGTTGCGTCTCCAGAGTCTCGGGCAGCAGTGAATACAGAGCGCTGGACGCCTGCTTCTTCCCGGCCTCTTTATACTTGCTCTAAAAACACAATCACACTGGTGAATCATGGGTAATGAGGTCTCATTGTACTGAGCCCCAAACCTGCAAACATTAAAAAAAAAAAAAAACATAGACAAAGATATAAATGCATTAATAGAACAATAAATAAAGGAATAAATCAATTGATAAAACATGAATAATTCATTTTTACTTATATTTAATCCAGATCCTAATCCTAGCTGTCAATCATTACAAGTTAACTGAATTAAACACAGTATGTGCAGAGAGTAATTAACAGCAAAGTAATACCAATCAGTATTTGCTGGAGATTAAGACAGTATTGAGGAAGACAAAAAGTGTCTTTAAAGTGTCTTATAACTGAAGCAGGGGTTAAAGGTGACCTTGGCCCGAGGTTAAAGGTGACTTTGATCCGGGGTTAAAGGTGACCTTGGCCCGAGGTTAAAGGTGACTTTGATCCAGAGTTAAAGGTGATTTTGATCCGGGGTTAAAGGTGACTTTGATCCGGGGTTAAAGGTGACTTTGATCCGGGGTTAAAGGTGACTTTGATCAGGGGTTAAAGGTGACCTTGGCCTAAGGTTAAAGGTGACTTTGATCCGGGGTTAAAGGTGACCTTGGCCCGAGGTTAAAGGTGATTTTGATCCTGGGTTAAAGGTGACCTTGGCCCAAGGTTAAAGGTGACTTTGATCCAGGGTTAAAGGTGACTTTGATCTGGGGTTAAAGGTGACCTTGGCCCGAGGTTAAAGGTGAACTTGGCCCGAGGTTAAAGGTGACTTTTATCCGGGGTTATAGGTGACTTTGATCCGGGGTTAAAGGTGACTTTGATCCGGGGTTAAAGGTGACCTTGGCCGAGGTTAAAGGTGAACTTGGCCGAGGTTAAAGGTGACTTTTATCCGGGGTTATAGGTGACTTTGATCCGGGGTTAAAGGTGACTTTGATCCGGGGTTAAAGGTGACCTTGGCCGAGGTTAAAGGTGAACTTGGCCGAGGTTTAAAGGTGACTTTTATCCGGGGTTATAGGTGACTTTGATCCGGGGTTAAAGGTGACTTTGATCCGGGGTTAAAGGTGACCTTGGCCCGAGGTTAAAGGTGACTTTGATCCAGGGTTAAAGGTGACCTTGGCCGAGGTTAAAGGTGAACTTGGCCCGAGGTTAAAGGTGACTTTTATCCGGGGTTAAAGGTGACTTTGATCCGGGGTTAAAGGTGACTTTGATCCGGGGTTATAGGTGACTGTGATCTGGGGTTAAAGGTGACTTTGATCCGGGGTTAAAGGTGACCTTGGCCCGAGGTTAAAGGTGACTTTGATCCGGGGTTAAAGGTGACTTTGGCCCAGGTTAGCCCAGACCTGGCCCTGGTCCAGCGCAGTGAGTGTGTGTCTGCTCACCTGGCTCTGTAGGTCGGTCAGCGTGCGCGCGAGCTGTGTGTGTGTGGTCTCGGGCAGCTGAGAGTAAAGGCAGACGCAGGCGCTCCTCCGGCCCTCCTCTCGGTAGCGGTTCTGGGACACAGATGGACGGAGGTTTAGGGATTCTCTCGTGCCGATCAAACACAGGGTCGGGATCGGATACTTGTTATAAAATTAAAATTCGATTCCTCTCATCGATTCCTTTGTGAGCACTTTTTAAATGAAGATTAAACCATTGAAGCGTGAGAGATTCTGCTCTTAAAGGGACAGCACTAATATTCCTGCTCTATAATAACACTCATCAAACAACAAAAAGAGAATTCACTCGTTCTGCACTGAATAACTGTCGCAACTATATTTGTAATCTATATTTTATTAATAAAGTGTGTGACGTGTGTGTGTGTGTCGTACTTCGCTCTGCAGCTCGGAGACTTTAGCGGCGAACTGTGTCTGTGGCGTCTGCGGGAGCTGAGAGTAAACGCTGGACGACTGGAGCTTCTTCCCTTCTTTATATCGGACCTGTAGAGCAGAAACACAGATGAGTGTGTGTGCGTGCGCGTGTGTGTGTGTGTGTGTGAAGCTCATGAACACCTCGCTCTGGATCTCGGTGGCGTCTCTGGCGTGTTGCGTGTCTTTGGTTTCAGGGAGTGTGTGATACAGAGACGAGCTGCTCTCCCTCTGAGCCGACTCCCTGTATTTCCTCTGAAACATCAATGAAGCTGAGTTAATATCCGGCAATAACACACTGATTTCACTGCACTGACGCTGTTGGATGAGAACGAGCTCAAACTGAACTCTAATGGGAATAGCGCGTCAGGCGCGAATGATTTCAATGTTGAGTCAATGCAAAGATGCGTTACGTGCGTGAAAAATTCTTGCGGCGCGAATGAGGCGTGGAGCGGAAGACGCGAATACGCCTCGTTCGCGCGAATTGAGCGTCTGGCGCGTTAAGCACGAATGATTTAGTTAATGCTATTTGTGCATTCACGCGGTTGACGCGAATTCGCGTCTGCCATCCGAGTTGAAAAATCTGAACTTTGGCGTGAATTCGCACCGCGTTAACCAATCAGGAGCCTAGCTTCTTGCTCACGTGGTGAAGTGTCTGGATGCTTCAATAAATTGTTTTGTAATATGACTAAATGCATGGTGGGATTATGCAAAGCAAATATTTGATCACTTAAAACATTATTTCTATAAACGAGACATGTTCGTTTTGTATTGAATGTTATTCATTCCATATCAAGATTATATGAAATAGTATTATGATGTAAAGACAATCAACATACATGTGCATAAGTTCGTGTCTGGACGTGAGAGAGAAAAAAATCACAGGACAGGTTAATAACTTCTGAAGGCTGGCTCTATTTATCATCAAAACTAAAATAAATGACAGCTAAGATTAGGTGGATGAGGGCGAGGGTAATCCTCGCTCCGATGCGGGACAACAGGTCATCAAACTGGATGTGGCACAGGCGGAAGTACCGCCGACAGCGGCCGTCATCCAGCGCAGCTCCTGGAGCGAGCAAACGGTGAAACACGCCAAACGGTTCGCCTCCGAAAGGTCCGGACGACACAAATACGGCGACGATGATCCCCACGCCGCTGTTCTAGCTCTCCAGAGCAAATACAGAGCGGTGACTCTTTCGATGAATGCTTGATCAACATAAACAATGATGGCCGTCAACGGGTTTCGGTTTTGACGCGCGAGACACGCGTAAATTTCGCTTCAAACTTTTTATTTTACCCTTCACGCGCGAATGGATTCAAAGTGGTCAAACTAGGCGCGGTAGACGCGAATTTGACGGTGTGAACGTAGCATTAGACTCTATTGTCTTCGGTGAACTCGTCTCGTATCCGATGAAGTTCGCGTCATTGGTTCCAGTTTGCAGTGTGTGTGAAGCGATCGGCTGTGTAGAAACTGTAGTGATTGTCAGTCATGAACACTGTGTGCGTTTCTGCGTCACTCATGAGTGTGTAACAATAGCCTCACTATCAGCTGCTGGAGATACAGACGCGTCTGAGACGCACACACACTCTTCATCTCCACATGTATGAGCATTACTGTATGAAGATGAGGAAGAGGATGAGGAAGAGTGTATCACCTCACTGATGAGCGGCGTCAGCTCCTTCACAAACTGTGTGTGTAGCGTCTCGGGCAGCTGAGAGTACACACACTGAGACAGATCCTCCTGAGTCTCTCTGCGGTACTGATTCTACAACACACACACACATCATCATCACACACACACACACATCATCATTAAAGGGTTAGTTCACCCAAAAATGAAAATTCTGTCAGTATTTACTCACCCTCATGTTGTTCCAACCCCGTAAGACCTTCGTTCATCTTCGCAACACAAATTAAGATATTTAAGATATTAAGATCGCTCCTGCATACTAGTCCATAGGCTTCTTGAGGGAATGACTCGAAAAGTCATTAAAGACATCGTTAAAATAGTCCAAGTGACTAAAGTGGCTCAATCTTAACTTTATCAAACGACGAGAACACTTTTTGTGCGCCAAAACAAACAAAAATAACGACTTTATTTCAATTTCAATTCGCTACGGGCCTGTAGTCAGTTAACGTAGTGTGATTGCGTAAAGCTACGTCACACGAAGGCTCACTATTGGCCGACGCTGGTCATGTGTGTGATGCGTGTGACGTACAATAACAGAAGCTTACGCTATTAAACTAGTAACCTGACTCGCGCAGAGGGAGAAAAAAACAAATAGTTGAAATAAAGTCTTTATTTTTGTTTTTTTGTTACAAAAGTGTTCTCGTCGTTTGATAAACTAAAAATAGTCACTTGGACTATTTTAACGATGTCTTTAATGACTTTTTCCCTCAAGAAGCCTATGGACTAGTATGCAGGAGCGATCTTAATATCTTAAATATCTTAATTTGAGTTTCGAAGATGAACGAAGGTCTTACGGGGTTGGAACAACATGAGGGTGAGGAAATACTGACAGAATTTTCATTTTTGGGTGAACTAACCCTTTAACATGACACACACACATCAACATCATCTCACACACAGCAACTGAGACAGATCCTCCTGAGAGTCTCTCTGCGGTACTGATTCTACAACACACACACACACACACACACACAAACAAGTGTGATCGTTACCTGGCTCTGTAGTTCACTCTGCTGTTTGGCGAACTGTGTCTCCAGCGTCTCGGGCATCAGTGAGTACAGACACGGCGATCCCTCCCTCTTCCCGTCCTCTTTATATCGGACCTGTGTGTGAAAATAACCTGCTGATAACCCTCTGACCCACGGTCACATGACTGAAGGAGTGCGGGGGTAAGATGAGCCACACCTTGCTGCAGGCCTGCGTCTGCTGTCTGGCCGCCCGCGTCTCTGGAGTCTCCGGCAGGAGAGAGAAAAGAGACGACGAGTTGTCCTTCTCCTTATACTTCAGCTGGAACACACACACATCACTCGTGCTCACCTCTGACCTCTGTGTGTGTTTGCGCTGTAGATACAAAAAACTGCCGACTGCTTTCAACTACACTACCAGTCAGACGTTTGGGGATCGGGAAGTCTCTCTCCTCATCCAAAACTTTTGTACGGCAGTGTGTATTTGTGTATGTTTGCTGTTGTGTGTGTTTGATTAGATTGATGATGAAGATGAGGAAGAGCACGTCACCTGGCTCTGGATCTGAGCGGCGTCTCGAGCGTGTCGAGTTTCTGGAGTTTCTGCGAGCTGATGGTACAGAGATCTGCTCATCTGCTGCTGAGCGTCAGCCTTATACTTCACCTGCACACACACACACACACACACACACACGCAATCAGGTCGTGTGACGTCAGCGCCAGTGGTGGAATGTAACGAAGTACAAATACTTTGTTACTTTACTGAAGTACATTTTTCACGTATCTTCACTTTACTTAAATAGAATAAATAGTGCCTACTTTTTACTTTTACTTCGCTACATTTTAAAGTTATTATTTTACTTTCTACTCCACTACATTTCTACAACTTCTGTTACATTTTCTGATCAGTTTTTCCCCTGCCAAACCGTAATCTGACCGTCCGTTCGTTGCACGTTTGTCTCACCAGTGACGTTTGGTTGCCATAGATACATCAACTAAATGCGTCTCGCACGCAGTGTGTTTATCGTACAATTTATACCCGAAAATGTGTTTTTACGTGCATAGGAAACACACCGTGTGTAATATCATATACGTTTGGTTAGGATTATGGCAAGCCAAGAGGTTCAGAATTACACCATAAATAAATCGCATAGTTATTAACATAAGTTAGTAAGGATAAGCATGTTTATATTGCCTAATTGCAAGCTTGTTTCAGAAATTATGACTTTTTTTTCCCATCATTATTGAACATTATTATAGGAGTATTAGGTTGAATGAATTAGAATTAAATGAATAGAAAATAGTCATTAAGAGAATCAATTGTTATGCAAGTACTTTTACTTTTAATACTTAAAGTACATTTAAAATCAGGTACTTTTTACTTTTTACTTAAGTATGGTTGTCATTGTGTTACTTCTACTTTCACTAAAGTAAATATTTATCTGGTTATTTGTACTTTTACTTAAGTACTGAGATTCAGTACTTCCTCCACCACTGGTCAGCGCACACGCACACACACACACACACACACACTCAGACACTCACGTCGCTCTGGAGTTCAGTGACCGTCTTCACGAACTGCGTCTCTGGGGTCTCTGGCATCTGAGAATAAAGACTGGAGCTCTTGAGCTTCTGTCCTTCAGCCTTATACTGAACCTGAAACACACACACACACACACACACTCTAACATGTCACACTAAATGGTTTAGCTCCAGTACTTGAGCGAGCTCTTAACGCATTATAGTCCTTTACGTCTATTGCGATCTCTAAACTCCGGCCGGCTGATAATACCAGAGCCCGTCTAACGGAGAGCTTGGCACTCCCTATTAACCCTGTTGTGGATCATCCTGGTTGCAGTTCCATTAGAATTCCACTGGGGGTGATCATGAGCGAGTGCAGAATGAATGGGAGTCTATGGGGCTAAACGGCTAAATGTGTCTCTTTCAGCTGCTTGTTGTTAAATAAAAATAGATTTTATTGTTGATTCGGCAAGTTCAATATAGATTATAGGCCAAAAGTGGAATGAACGAGTACTTATGTCCTTTTGATTTCTTACAGGTTAGGCTGTCGTTGGCCGGGACACGCTAGCATTCTGCTATTGTGTGACGTCATCACATTTTTAGAACAGATAAGTGAACTTAAAAATGCAATTTTCAGCTGAGTGTATTTTCTTAGCCCTCCCTTTTGAATGCAACTTTCAAATTACTTGACAAAAAATTACATCCTGAGAAAAGTGGATTTCTGGGGGTGAAACCCCATTGACTCCCATTCATTCTGCACTCGACCGCGAGCGCCCCCGCATGGACAGAGACGCGTTACTGCAGCCAGACCACAACCCGGAAGTAACCAGCCAGTGCCGATTCTCTTCAATTAGACATTCTCTGATAATACCTAGAATATCTGGAGAAACTGGAAGGACTCCAGATCTGATGAAGGACCAGCGCCTGCACACACACACACACACACACCTGACTCTGCAGTGCGCTGATCTCTCGGAGCCGTCGAGTCTCTGCAGTGTCGATCGTCTGAGAGAACAGCGATGAGGCCTGATCCTTCTTCCCGTCCTCTCTGTACTTCAGCTGAGAGAAACACAGATGTTCATGATCACGTGTGTGTGTGTGTGTGTGACACGTGACCCATGCGGTACAAACCTCACTGCGCAGCTCTGACGCGTGTTTAGCGTGTCGCGTGTCTTGAGTCTCGGGCAGAAGAGCGTAAAGACACGCATCCGTTCGGCTCTGCTCTTTATATTTCACCTGCACACACACACACGCTTCCTCATCACATGTTCAGGGACACACGTGTGCTCATGATCTGATCAGGTGATCTGCTGCCGACACATACGTGACTCTGCAGCTGGCCGGCGTGTTTAGCGTGTTCGGTCTCCAGCGTGTGTGGCATCAGGCTGTATAAGTTACTCTCGGACTCCTTCTTCCCGTCGTGCTGGTACTGAAGCTGAAAACACAAGCACAAACATCATCAGCTGCACTTTAGGGAAAAATATTAGCGATTCATCATTTCAGTCATGTGACCTGTGGGCAAAACAACTGCATCAAGTGTCAATCCAACTCAAAAGAAAGAATGACAACAATATGAGAAGAAAATGCAGGTTTTGAATCTAAACGCGGAGACGCTGTACACGTAAAAAAAAAATACATTTTTTTTAGTTATTTATATTTTATTTTTTTATGCTATGATGCTGGTCTGTGGTCTGATTAAAGGAGAACTCCGGCGCAAAATGAACCTTTGGTTTAATTACACATTGTTACCTAGTCAACCGTTATTAGAGATTTGTTTTCATGATTGCTGAATGTAAATAGTTTTATCTAAAACAGTTTAGCCTATAACGCTAGTATAACGCTAGTATTTAGGGCATAGAGTAATGACAAATAAAAATCGCTTGTTATTACCACTAACAAGGCTCAAAATAGCCCCACAGTAATATAATAAGAGTCCCTACATTCAAACCGAAGCATTGAGAACTTTGTCAGTGTCCATACAGTTTAATAAGAAGATATTTTATACACACAGTCAACTTCGCGAATACAGGAAGAAGCCATCTTTGAAAAATAGTCTCTACCAGTCGATCTAAGAACGCCGATCCGAGTGCGCTGGTGAGATGTGAATAAGGTGATACGGTGAGCGCGAACAGTAGGCAACATGTACATATTGAAGAGAAGAAAACGGTTTGTGTTTGTGTTTCTTCCGAAAACAACGGACCATATGAGATTCTGCTCAGTTCAGAGGACTTGGATCGAAGTTCGTAGATCGACTGGTAGAGACTATTTTTCAAAGATGGCTTCTTCCTGTATTCGCGAAGTTGACTGTGTGTATAAAATATCTTCTTATTAAGCTGTATGGACACTGACAAAGTTCTCAATGCTTCGGTTTGAATGTAGGGATCCTTATTATGCTGTCGTGTTACTGTGGGGCTATTTACTGTGAGCCTTGTTAGTGGTAATAACAAGCGATTTTTATTTGTCATTACTCTATGCCCTATATACTAGCGTTATACTAGCGTTATAGGCTAAACTGTTTTAGATAAAACTATTGACATTCTGCAATCATGAAAACAAATCTCAGATAACGGTTGACTAGGTAACAATGTGTAATTAGACCAAAGGTTCATTTTGCGCCGGAGTTCTCCTTTAAGACATTCCATAATTTGTGCCAGGCCATTTATATTATTCAATAAAGTCCTTGGTAAAAAAAAAAGAAGAAAAAAGAAGAAGCAACTGAGCCTATTATTATTGTATACTGGGGTGCTCTGGCTTGGTGTGGATGTGGACATAGTGATGCTATGGTGATGTAATAGTGATGTCATAGCCCTATGTTCAAGAGTGTTACCTGGCTCTGGATGTCGGTCATGTGACTGGCTAACAGTGTGTCTGCGGTCTGAGGTAGGAGTGAATAAAGACTGGGCTGATCGTCCTTCTGCTTATATTTGACCTGCAGAACACACACATTCACACATCATAATCAACGTTCAAATCACATCATAGTCAACATAACCCCCCCCACTTGGCACAATGCAGTCAGGATTTGTAGAAGTGTCTGCATGCCTAGTGCTTGATCTTATACAACTATGGCCACTGACCATGGAAGTGATTGAAACACCTGAACTCAATGATTTGCATTGAGTTCAGGCACTATAGTGTATTGAGTGCGCTTGACGTCACCTGGCTCTGCGCGTCTGCGATGTCTCGAACCGTCTGCGTCTGCAGCGTCTGCGTCAGGCGAGTGAAGAGTGGACTCGATAAACCCCCTCTGCCGTCCTCCCGGTACTTCACCTGAACACAAACGACCAGCTCTTCTAGTGTTTGTACAGCGAGTTTCACACGCGTGTTTGCAGCGTCACACTACCTCACTGATGATGTCAGTGGCGTGTTTAGCGTGTTGCGTGTCCAGCGTCTCGGGCAGCGTGGCGTACAGCGAGTCGGTCACCTGCTGCTTATATTTCACCTAAAGGAAACACACACACACACACACTCTCTTAATCAGTCCAAGCCGTACTGAGATTTTGAGTTGATATTAACGTGTTAACTTTCACATGTTCTCCAGTTAATGGTCACATTTTTTTATGTGACCATTAACTGGAGAACATGTGAAAGTTAAATACGGGTTTTATTTTGTTTTTAGTTTAAAGGGTTAGTTCACCCAAAAATGAAAATTCTGTCAGTATTTACTCACCCTTATGTTGTTCCAAACCTCTATGTGTTTATTTGTTCTGCTGAACACAAAGGAAGATATTTGGAAGAATGTTTTAATCAAACAGATCTCATTCCTCATTGACTGCAGAACAAATAAACACATAGAGGTTTGGAACAACACGAGGGTGAGTAAATACTGACAGAACTTTCATTTTTGGGTGAACTAACCCTTTAATTTTACAGGTTTATATTTAATTAATTTAGATTCAATTTTAAAATTATTATTATTTATTTTACTTTGACATGTTTACGATGTATTTAGTTATTATTTTATTTATTTAATTATTTAAAGTATGAATTTGTTCGTATTTATTTAGTTTTATTTCATTTAAATTTTGCATTTTCATTGAAATTAAAATTTTATTTTATTTAATTGATTGATTTAAAAAAAATTATAAATATTTGTTTTTTTATCAAGCTTGACAATGGCAGAAATGAGTGAGTGTGGTTTTGAAAGGCTGAGGTGTTTCTCCTCGCCTCGCTCTGCAGATCTGACACGGATCTGACGAACTGCGTCTCTGGAGTCTCGGACAGCTGAGAGTAAACACTGGACGAGAGACTCCTCCTGCCCTCCTCACGGTACTCGCTCTGAAACACACAGAGTGTGTGTGTGAGATCTGAGTGTGTGTGAGATCTGAGTGTGTGTGAGATCTGAGATGGAGCTTCACCTCACTGAGTGTGTGTGAGATCTGCTGGACACACTTCATCTCCGCCGAGTCTGGGACCGCAGTGAACGAGGAGCCCGAGAAATCGCCCTTTCTGATGCCTTTATACGCCACCTGATGAAGAAGTGGAGAAGAAGCTCACGCCACACTCTTAGAAGAAAAGGTTCTATATAGAACCTTAAAAGGTTCTAAAGCGCTACGTATTTGGAACCCCTAAAATGCATTCCATGTGAATGAGCACAAAATTCAAGATATGGTGGTAATCAATATCACACGAAGAGTGCCATTTCAGTTTTTCTCCTCCAAAAATCTGCATGACTAAAATGTGATATTAAGTTACTACAACAGTTTAATAAACAATAATTTAATAACAACTACAAAATGTTGCAGAATATTGTAATATATGAATGAATGAAGAATACTTCCGCATTCTGTAAAACAGGTCTTTTGTATGTGCTTCGTGATTTTTTTGCGGTTTTACTCAAGATAACTTAAAAGGAGTGAGCAAAGATTTGCATAACCAATGTCCCTCACATGTGCAGATTGATAGTTAAACGTTTTATATTTTTTCTTCTTCACAGTAACGTTTAAATATTTAAATGAAATAAAACACCAATAACAAAGTGAACTCGGTAGGTTAGCTCAGCCTTTCTCAAACTTTTTTCAGTCAGGGCACCTTTCAAAAGTGCATAAAATCTCAAGGTACCCCAGTGTAAAATATAATTTAAAAACACTGCATAACCCAAATTTAAATGCAAATGTCTTAGTTAGACAGAACAGTAATGAACAGAGCATAATATGAACTGTAAATAACAATAATAATAAAAACGTTATAGCACCTTTAAAAACACAGGTTTGCAAAGTAATTCACAAAATAATTAATCAGAGACACAAATGCCATAAAACCGTAAGAGGTGGACCGCCCAATACAAGAACCCAATAACAAATCCAGACCAGGAGAACTCAAATGAAGTGCAGGATGCAGATAAAATAAAATAAAAATCCCCGGCTCTTATGGGGATTTTCTTTTCAAAAAACGATCCATATTGCTGTAACTAAAGTGGCCTAAATTCACGTTTATTTTTACGTTTCTGTCAGTCTGAGGTGTTGCTATAACGCGTTGCTATGGATTGGGTCACTTGCGTCAAGTTGTGTGCGTCTTGCTTCGGTCTTGTGAGACGGATTTTTTTTATGATTAATTTTATATATTTATCTAAAATGAATTTACAATTTTATTAATATGTTCATATGTTTAAAAAGAAGAATGTAAATATGTAAATTCAAATATATTTATATATGAAATGTCAGCTGTTTTTTTTTTTCACATTTTTTTTAGCCTACATAATTTTTTGGCGGCACCCCTGACACAGCTAGGGGGCACCCCAGTGTGCCGCGGCACCCACTTTGAGAAAGGCTGGGTTAGCTGATTACCTTAAAAATCCATAGATATCGTAGTCAGTTCTTACGGCCGTTAACACTCTGACAAGTGGATGCGATGATGAGACCTGTTTTCCGGTTTGGTCACGTGACGCTCGACATAAAGCCTATAGCCTTTAAAGAACCTTTGTGCCAAAAATGTTCTTTCTTGTCATTATTGAACCTTTTTTAGCATTAAATGTCCTTTGGAGTTGAGTAAAGAACCCTATGCTACAGATATAGAACCCTTTTTTCTAAGAGTGTACAGCCACACGCGTGTGAGGAAGAGCTGTGCTCAGATCTGATGATGATGAAGATGAGGAAGAGCACGTCACCTGGCTCTGGATCTGAGCGGCGTCTCGAGCGTGTCGAGTTTCTGGAGTTTCTGCGAGCTGATGGTACAGAGATCTGCTCATCTGCTGCTGAGCGTCAGCCTTATACTTCACCTGCACACACACACACACACACACACAGCGGATCAGTCATGCGTATCTTGATGTTGACTAGAGGAACTGACTGTAAGACTGTATTGTTGGAGTGTGTCGTACGTGGCTCTGTAACTAAATCTCGTATTGTTGGACTGTGTGTGTGTGTGTGTGTGTGTCGTACGTTGCTCTGTAGGTCTGCGGTGTGTTTGCTGAACTGTGTCTCCAGCGTCTCCGGCATCAGCGAGTACAGATTACTGGAGTTTTCCTTCAGGTCAGCTTTATACTTCAGCTGAAACACACATGAAGAGTGAAAGATACCCCAGACACAACATTCTGAGTGTCTGTTTCTGTGTAAAGACTGAATCTACAGAGGTCACAGAGGTCATACCTCACTCTGCAGCTCCATCTGCTGCTTCACGAACTCATTCTGCGGCGTCTCTGCCATCAGGGAGAACAGATTACTGCCCGTCACTGACGCCCGGCCCTGCTGGTACTGCAGCTGATCACACAACAAACACAGTCACATGATCACAAGACGAGTCACGTGATCACATAATGTAGCCGTGAAGAGCAGGAATACATGTGTCAGATCCATAACTCAGATCCATGCTTTAACCCTTGGATTATAACTCGGCCTCTGATTGGGCCACAGCCACACGCATGTGAGGAAAAGCAGAACACGGTAAGATGATGAAGATGAGGAAGAGCACGTCACCTGGCTCTGGATCTGAGCGGCGTCTCGAGCGTGTCGAGTTTCTGGAGTTTCTGCGAGCTGATGGTACAGAGATCTGCTCATCTGCTGCTGAGCGTCAGCCTTATACTTCACCTGCACACACACACACACACACACACAGCGGATCAGTCATGCGTATCTTGATGTTGACTAGAGGAACTGACTGTAAGACTGTATTGTTGGAGTGTGTCGTACGTGGCTCTGTAACTAAATCTCGTATTGTTGGACTGTGTGTGTGTGTGTGTGTGTGTCGTACGTTGCTCTGTAGGTCTGCGGTGTGTTTGCTGAACTGTGTCTCCAGCGTCTCCGGCATCAGCGAGTACAGATTACTGGAGTTTTCCTTCAGGTCAGCTTTATACTTCAGCTGAAACACACATGAAGAGTGAAAGATACCCCAGACACAACATTCTGAGTGTCTGTTTCTGTGTAAAGACTGAATCTACAGAGGTCACAGAGGTCATACCTCACTCTGCAGCTCCATCTGCTGCTTCACGAACTCATTCTGCGGCGTCTCTGCCATCAGGGAGAACAGATTACTGCCCGTCACTGACGCCCGGCCCTGCTGGTACTGCAGCTGATCACACAACAAACACAGTCACATGATCACAAGACGAGTCACGTGATCACATAATGTAGCCGTGAAGAGCAGGAATACATGTGTCAGATCCATAACTCAGATCCATGCTTTAACCCTTGGATTATAACTCGGCCTCTGATTGGGCCACAGCCACACGCATGTGAGGAAAAGCAGAACACGGTAAGATGATGAAGATGAGGAAGAGCACGTCACCTGGCTCTGGATCTGAGCGGCGTCTCGAGCGTGTCGAGTTTCTGGAGTTTCTGCGAGCTGATGGTACAGAGATCTGCTCATCTGCTGCTGAGCGTCAGCCTTATACTTCACCTGCACACACACACACACACACACACAGCGGATCAGTCATGCGTATCTTGATGTTGACTAGAGGAACTGACTGTAAGACTGTATTGTTGGAGTGTGTCGTACGTGGCTCTGTAACTAAATCTCGTATTGTTGGACTGTGTGTGTGTGTGTGTGTGTGTCGTACGTTGCTCTGTAGGTCTGCGGTGTGTTTGCTGAACTGTGTCTCCAGCGTCTCCGGCATCAGCGAGTACAGATTACTGGAGTTTTCCTTCAGGTCAGCTTTATACTTCAGCTGAAACACACATGAAGAGTGAAAGATACCCCAGACACAACATTCTGAGTGTCTGTTTCTGTGTAAAGACTGAATCTACAGAGGTCACAGAGGTCATACCTCACTCTGCAGCTCCATCTGCTGCTTCACGAACTCATTCTGCGGCGTCTCTGCCATCAGGGAGAACAGATTACTGCCCGTCACTGACGCCCGGCCCTGCTGGTACTGCAGCTGATCACACAACAAACACAGTCACATGATCACAAGACGAGTCACGTGATCACATAATGTAGCCGTGAAGAGCAGGAATACATGTGTCAGATCCATAACTCAGATCCATGCTTTAACCCTTGGATTATAACTCGGCCTCTGATTGGGCCACAGCCACACGCATGTGAGGAAAAGCAGAACACGGTAAGATGATGAAGATGAGGAAGAGCACGTCACCTGGCTCTGGATCTGAGCGGCGTCTCGAGCGTGTCGAGTTTCTGGAGTTTCTGCGAGCTGATGGTACAGAGATCTGCTCATCTGCTGCTGAGCGTCAGCCTTATACTTCACCTGCACACACACACACACACACACACAGCGGATCAGTCATGCGTATCTTGATGTTGACTAGAGGAACTGACTGTAAGACTGTATTGTTGGAGTGTGTCGTACGTGGCTCTGTAACTAAATCTCGTATTGTTGGACTGTGTGTGTGTGTGTGTGTGTGTCGTACGTTGCTCTGTAGGTCTGCGGTGTGTTTGCTGAACTGTGTCTCCAGCGTCTCCGGCATCAGCGAGTACAGATTACTGGAGTTTTCCTTCAGGTCAGCTTTATACTTCAGCTGAAACACACATGAAGAGTGAAAGATACCCCAGACACAACATTCTGAGTGTCTGTTTCTGTGTAAAGACTGAATCTACAGAGGTCACAGAGGTCATACCTCACTCTGCAGCTCCATCTGCTGCTTCACGAACTCATTCTGCGGCGTCTCTGCCATCAGGGAGAACAGATTACTGCCCGTCACTGACGCCCGGCCCTGCTGGTACTGCAGCTGATCACACAACAAACACAGTCACATGATCACAAGACGAGTCACGTGATCACATAATGTAGCCGTGAAGAGCAGGAATACATGTGTCAGATCCATAACTCAGATCCATGCTTTAACCCTTGGATTATAACTCGGCCTCTGATTGGGCCACAGCCACACTGTGTGAGGAAAAGCAGAACACGGTAAGATGATGAAGATGAGGAAGAGCACGTCACCTGGCTCTGGATCTGAGCGGCGTCTCGAGCGTGTCGAGTTTCTGGAGTTTCTGCGAGCTGATGGTACAGAGATCTGCTCATCTGCTGCTGAGCGTCAGCCTTATACTTCACCTGCACACACACACACACACACACACACCATATCATCCTCCTCCTCCTGATGATGACGATGATGGTGATTAGGTTTGGGTATCGAGAATCGAGTATCGATTGGAAATGGGACTGACTTTTCGTTTTTTTCCCGGAATCGTTCAAAAGTTCAAATTTCGATTCCTAGTTTCGATATTCACAGTCCGCCGAGCGGAAGAAGAAACCGCTGAACAACACCAACGAAGAAGCGTCTACCGGAAGTGTTGGCATAACCGCGCGAGTCGAACATGAGTAGCTGACGTCGGCGGTCCAAAGTGTGGCTTCACTATTCTAAAAATTAACGAAATCTCGGCAAAATGCAAAATTTGTGACAAAATGAGTATTTCCTTCAGAAAGACTGTTGGTTAGCAAGGTTAGCTAAACTTTTTTGACCCTGCGTCTTAAAAGAATCGAAATCGAGAATCATTAGGAACCGGAATCGAAACAAGGAATCGGAATCGGAATCAGAATCGTTCAAATTCAAACGATCCCCAACCCTGATGGTGATGGTGGTATACCTGACTCTGCAGCTCAGAGATGCTCCTGCTGAATTGAGTCTCTGCAGTTTCAGGAAGCTGAGAGTAAACGCAGCAGCTGATGCTCTTCCGGCTCTGCTCCCGGTACTTATTCTGCACACACACACACACAGACGTCACACACTTCACCGCTCAGTGTAACGTGCTCTGATCCTTCATCTCGTCTGCTTCACCTCGCTGATGGTCTCTGTGATCTCTCTGGCGAACTGCATCTCCGGCGTCTCGGGCAGCGTAGAGAAGAGAGAGTCTGACGTCTGTCTGTCCTTGTACATCACCTGGAGCAACACACACACACACACAGAGAACAGAGAGCCTGACGTCTGTCTTTCCTCATAAATCACCTGGTACAACGAGTACACTCGGGGCCTAAAGAGAGCAGCCAGAAAAACGGAGCGCAATTGGAAGAAAACTAAACTAGAGGTATTTCGCATTTCATGGAAGGAGAGCTCGACTGCACACAGAGAGGCCTCAAACTCAGTCATGTGCTGCCACAGAGAATGATGGGAAATCTGATTCTGCCACACATAAACCCTGCGAACTGTGTAACTTTATCTGGACAATAACTTTATTCTAGCCTCTGTTCCTGTAATCTCCTGTTATCACTGTAATACTGTGTCCTAACTACATGCGATAAAAGGTATCTTCTCCATGTTAAAGCTATGGTATACGATGTTAAAAATCGGTCGAGACGGTAGGGAAGTTTTAAAAAACTCATCCCGCCCCTCCACACACACACCCCTCCCCTCTGCGCTACCTGATCCCTGACGTGTGTCACATTTGAGTTCACGTCAACGCAAGACGTCAACACAAGATTAGCAACACATGAAATGTTCTAAACTCCCCACCACCATTTTAATACTACTAGTATTGCTAAGGTTTTCAGTAATTGTTATTGCAGCACGCAGCGCATCTTGTTCAAATTCCGATCGGCTCGAACAGAAACCTCGAACAAGAAATATAATTACTTTGAACCGCGATCGGCGATGCTAAACGGCTAACATTCCAATGCCGACCGGCAGCATGAGCAAGTTGTCAAACTGATAAAAAGCCATGTAACACGTCACACCATAAAAGGACGCGAGCACAAGGCGGAGTTTCAAGTGGAGCTGGTGATTGGATGAGAGCAGTTGACCAATATAAGCTGTGCGGCCGCACAGCTTACATTGGTCAACTTTTCTGCGGATGTACAGCCAATAGAGTGAATGGATTTTTTTCATCCTTTTGGTCCCACTTTATATTAAGTGGCTTTAAGTACTTTGTACTTACATAGGAAAATAAGTACAATGTACTTATTGTGTTCAGGTTGTATTGTAAAACACTTTTGCTGCTATTGAGGTGTGATATGGGTATGGTTAGGGACAGGTGTGGTGGTATGGGTAGGTTTCATGGTGGGCTGAGGTGTAAGGGAAGGATCGACTGTGTAATTACAAATGTAATTACATGAATTAATTACAGTTGTAATTACATGCAGGTATTTTCAAAATATAAGTACAATGTAAAAACATACACAATAAGTCCAATGTATCAAAGTAGTAACTTCAATGCAAGTACATAGTACTTAAAGCCACTTAATATAAAGTGGGACCATTCTTTTTTCTATTCATATTGTTAGGATTGTACTATATAACCATAACCAGCATCTAAACAAGGATATTAATAATGAACAATCTTTGAAATCGTATACCCTAACTTTAATCAGAGTTTTTGTCCTAACCAGACGCGACGGCGACACGCGAAGTTTCTAATTTAGAAACGGTTCCTATTTCTGCGACGTCGCGGCTGACAGAACGAAGAAATTACACTGGTTACGAGTACACATTATTTATTTTCAGTTAAAAATAGCTCACTGTGCCACAAGCGATAACGGATAATTTACCTCAGATTTTGAAAGCATGTAATATAGCGTTCAAAATGAATTCTATGCAAACATACGACTGCACTTCATAACAAAATTAGTCAATAAGTCAGAGTGCAATTATTGCTTTTTAAATCTAAATTAATTTTAATGTATTTCTATTTTCTTTTACTGGCGCATACGTTGGGGAAGCGTATGAAAAGCTGCATGTCCCCCGCCCTTTGTCGTACTGTGCATGAGACAGACCGTATTTAGGCCACGCCCACAGCGGGGGAAACAATCCAACCGTCTCCGTTAACTTTGCGTCTGTAGATTTCTCAGCTTGGTTTTATTATGAAGACTATTACAGATGGATTTGTAAATATATTATTCCTAGATTGATGTAACATGGCGAAAATCTATTTAAGGCTATCTGATTACAGGATAACAAAAGTAGATATCCATTTTTCCCCATCTATTATGTGAACACAATGAAAAAATGATTTTAAACCTTATCTAATAGGCTAGGCCTACTCATTTTTTTTTTTTTTTTTAATATATGAAGAGTTCAGATGCAAAAGCCTCTAAATGCCATTTTAATTTTTCTTCTTTAATAATGATTTTTATCAAACTTGTATTTAAGTTCAGTAATTTCACTTAAATGGCAATTGCCATTTAAGTGAAATTACTGAACTTAAATATACAAGTTTGATAAAAATCATCATTAAAGAAGAAAATTTCAAATGGCATTTAGAGGCTTTTGCATCTGAACTCTTCATATGCAAATTTGCACATATTTAATTAGATAATGCCTAATAATTTAAGACTTGAGACTTGACTTGAGCTTGCCCCTCAAAGACTTGGACTTCCAAAAAATGAGTTGTGAACATCTCTGTGGTGTGTACATGTGTATCTACATGCATGTGTGTGTGTGTGTACCTGGCTCTGTAGCTGGTACGCCTCTTTAGCATGTTTTGTCTCCAGTGTTTCTTCCAGGTGTGTGTAGAGACACGTGGAAACGTCTTTTCTATCAGCTTCCTTGTATTTATTCTGCCAGACACACACAGAGGAGTGTGAGAGTGCAGCCAGTCACATGACAGCGGACAGGTGAACACGCGTGATGAGTGTGTGTTACATGGCTCTGCAGGTCCGTCATGTTTTTGGCGTGTTGCGTGTCCATCGTGTCGGGCAGCTGAGAGAACAGACTAGAGGACAGCTTCTTCCTCCCGTCGGCTCGGTATCTCACCTGTCAATCATCATCATCATCAGTGTGTGTGTGTGTGTGTGACTGCGTGCGGGTGTATGTGTGTGTACCTCACTCTGCAGCTCCGTCATCTCTCTAGCGAACTCCGTGTCACGCGTGTCGGGCATCAGAGAATACAGACTCAAACGCAGATCTCCGAGTGCTTCCTCGCGGTACTGCATCTGACCAGCAGAGGAAACACCAGGAAACCACAAACATAAACTAACCAAAGTAAACGAGGCTTAATATATTCAGTCATTGTTCATTGTTTAGATGTTTGTGCTGGAAAAAGAGACAGAAACACTGAGGAAAAACATCAGTGACTTTATTCTGCTGATTTCAGACCTCAATGGTTTAAAGGGCACAGGAGCGCTGGTGCTGGCGGTCATGTGATCACCTGTCTCACCTCACTGCACAGGTGTGTGGCGGTCATGTGATCACCTGTCTCACCTCACTGCACAGGTGTGTGGCGGTCATGTGATCACCTGTCTCACCTCACTGCACAGGTGTGTGGCGGTCATGTGATCACCTGTCTCACCTCACTGCACAGGTGTGTGGCGTCTCCAGCACGCTGAGTCTCTAGTGTTTCAGGAACACGCGAGCTGTTCACCAGCTTCTGTTAAAGCACAAACACACTTCATTTCAAACTTCACATTATTCACAGGTTCACATTAGCCTAATCTTGGTGAAATTTTAAGATCCACGAAGCTCACGATTCCTGCTGTGACGCACTTCTACACATTAGTGTTTCTAACAGTGTGAACGCCTCATTCATAAAACATAACATAACAAAACAGCTCCTGTCGCCTCTGGCTGCATATAAAAACACTCAAATTCATAATAATACATGTTTATTTGATACATAAAACATTAAACAGACCGTCAGTACCTTCATCAGAGCCTCTGTCTGACTCTCTGTCGCCTCCGGCTGCAAATAAAACCAAATGAATTATATTTGATAGTTAATAAAATACAAATTAATTAATAATATAAAGTAGACGATCAGTACCTTCATCTGAGTGTTTGGGACGCCTGTCGCCTCCAGCTGGATATAAACCATTCAAATTAATTAAAATAATAATAATTAAAGTGTATTCAATACATAAAACATATTAAAACAGACCATTGGTGTCTCTGTCTGAGTGTCTGTGACGTCTGTCGCCTCCAGCTGGAGATTAATTATATTTAATAATTAATAAAAGAATACATAATGTTTATTTAAAACATCAGTACCTTCATCTGAGCGTCTGTGTCGTCTGACTGATTCTCTGTCGCCTTCAAACCATTCATATAAAACCATTCAAATTAATTATAATAATAAATAAAGTGTATTCAATACATAAAAAATAATAAAACAGACCATTAATGTCTCCATCTGAGCGTCTGTGACGTCTGTCTGACTCTCTGTCACCTCCAGCTGCAGACAATGTAAAAATAATAATATTATAATAATTTTTGATAAATAAAAACATGTTTATTTTATACAGAACACATAATAAAACAGACCATTAATGTCTCCGTCTGAGTGACTGTGACGTCTGTCGCCTCCAGCTGCAGATACAACCAAATTCATTTAGTAATATAATAAAAACATATAGTGTTAATTTAAGATATAAAACATGCTAAAGTAGACGATCAGTACCTTCATCTGAGTGTCTGTGATGTCTGTCATCTCCAGCTGGATATAAACCATTAAATTAATAATGAAGAAAATGAATAAACTAAATAATAATATTAAATAATGCCTATTTAATCCATAATACAGACCGTTAATGTCTCCGTCTGAGTGACTGTGTCCTCTGTCTGACTCTCTGTCGCCTCCAGCTGCAGATAAAACCAAATTAATTATATTTGATAATTAATAAAATAATAAATAATGTTTATTTAAAACATGAGTACCTTCATCTGAGCGTCTGTGTCGTCTGACTGATTCTCTGATGCCTCCAGCTGCAGACAATATACAAATAATAATATAATAATAAATAATAAATAAAAACATGTTTATTTTATTCAGAACACATAATAAAACAGACCATTAATGTCTCCGTCTGAGTGACTGTGACGTCTGTCGCCTCCAGCTGGATATGAAACCATTCAAATTAATAATAATGAAAATTAATAAAAAAATTGAATTTAAAAAATGTCTATTTAATCCATAAAACAGACCGTTAATATCTCCGTCTGAGTGACTGTGTCCTCTGTCTGACTCTCTGTCGCCTCCAGCTGCAGATAAAACCAAATTAATTATATTTGATAATTAATAAAATATTAAATAATGTTTATTTAAAACATCAGTACCTTCATCTGAGCGTCTGTGTCATCTGACTGATTCTCTGTCGCCTTCAAACCATTCATATAAAACCATTCAAATTAATTATAATAATAAATAAAGTGTATTCAATACATAAAACATAATAAAACAGACCATTATTGTCTCCATCTGAGCGTCTGTGACGTCTGTCGCCTCCAGCAGCAGATACAACCAAATTAATTAATGAACATAATAAAAACATAAAGTGTTAATATAATAACATAAAACACAATAAACCAGTACCTTTATCTGATCGTCTGTGACGTCTGTCGCCTCCAGCTGGATATGAAACCATTCAAATTAATTATAATAATAATAATCACTATTAACAGTTGAGTTGCATTAATACAGAATGTGTTTGAGAGCTTAAACACACACTCACATGCTGATTCTGAAAGATTGATATGATATTTTTGAGGGAACATGAAGTGTGTGTCTGTATATCTGAGTTTAACGTGACAAAGCAAACACAGAACAACAGAAACCAGTGGAGAATCAGTGGCGTTTCTGCTCCCGAGATTCAGTCACACTCACCTCGCGGGCCGCTGGGATCCCATCAGAACCGGCACCGGGAGAACCCTGTGGAACACACACACACACACACACACACACACATGCGGTGTGAAGGTCAGGGTCACAGAGATCCTGCGGTCAACGTCTCTCACCTCACACACACACCTTCAGCTCCGTCTCACCTCACACACACCTTCAGCTCCGTCTCTCTGCCCACCGTCTTCTCCAGCGCCACTCATGACTGAAACACAGATTCACACACACATTCGCGGCCTAGCAGACCGACTGAAAAACACACACACCGTCTGAGGAGCTTCTGTACTGGACGACTCTATCAGAGACGCCTCCACTTTTAGAAACACTCAGGCTTTATCAGAGAGTGCCGCTCACGGAAGGAATGTCCAGCGATACCGACCCGCGTCACACTAACCTTCGCTAGGACTGGTACTCACAGTGTGTGTGTAGTGTGTGTGTGTGTGTGGCCTCGGTAAACCAGCACTGAAACTGATTCACAACCACTCAAACTAGTGCCTGAAACCTGACATTGGATCTAATATTCCCCGAAGAGTTTGAGTTCAGTCACACAGTTTGTGATGGTTCAGATTTCAGATTTAGAATGTTTCATATGGAGGCTGTACATAACTCACTAACTAAATCTGAGTCACTCACTGACTCACTCACTCACTCACTCACTCATTGACTCACTCACTGACTCACTTACTCACTCACTGACTCACTCATCACTCACTGACTCACTCATCACTCACTGACTCACTCATCACTCACTGACTCACTTACTCACTGACTCACTCATCACTCACTGACTCACTCACTCACTCACTGACTCACTCACTCACTGACTCACTCATTGACTCACTCACTCACTGACTGACTCACTCACTCACTCACTGACTCACTCACTGACTCACTCATCACTCACTGACTCACTCATCACTCACTCACTCACTCACTCACTGACTCACTCATCACTCACTGACTCACTCATCACTCACTGACTCACTTACTCACTGACTCACTCATCACTCACTGACTCACTCACTCACTCACTGACTCACTCACTCACTGACTCACTCATTGACTCACTCACTCACTGACTGACTCACTCACTCACTCACTGACTCACTCACTGACTCACTCATCACTCACTGACTCACTCATCACTCACTGACTCACTCATCACTCACTCACTCACTCACTCACTGACTCACTCATCACTCACTCACTCACTGACTCACTCATCACTCACTCAGTCACTGACTCACTCACTCACTCACTGACTCACTCATCACTCACCCACTCACTGACTCACTCATCACTCACTCACTCACTGACTCACTCATCACTCACCCACTCACTGACTCACTCATCACTCACTCACTCACTGACTCACTCATCACTCACTCAGTCACTGACTCACTCACTCACTGACTCACTCATCACTCACCCACTCACTGACTCACTCATCACTCACTGACTCACTCATCACTCACTGACTCACTCACTCACTCACTGACTCACTCATCACTCACTGACTCACTCACTCACTCACTGACTCACTCACTCACTGACTCACTCACTGACTCACTCACTCACTCACTGACTGACTCACTCATCACTCACTGACTCACTCACTGACTCACTCACTCACTCACTCACTCACTGACTCACTCACTCACTCACTCACTCACTGACTCACTCACTCACTCACTGACTCACTCACTCACTCACTCACTCACTGACTCACTCACTCACTGACTGACTCACTCACTCACTCACTCACTCACTCACTGACTCACTCACTCACTGACTCACTCACTCACTGACTGACTGACTCACTCACTCACTCACTCACTCACTCACTGACTCACTCACTCACTGACTCACTCACTCACTGACTGACTGACTCACTCACTCACTCACTGACTCACTCACTCACTCACTCACTCACTCACTCACTCACTCACTCACTGACTCACTCACTCACTCACTGACTCACTCACTCACTCACTCACTCACTCACTCACTCACTCACTGACTCACTCACTCACTGACTGACTCACTCACTCACTCACTGACTCACTCACTCACTGACTCACTCACTCACTGACTGACTGACTCACTCACTCACTCACTCACTCACTCACTGACTCACTCACTCACTCACTGACTCACTCACTCACTCACTCACTGTCTAAGCACTTGTTTATGTGGACTGAAATGTAGATGAAGTGATTTTCCTGTCGTCAGAAAACAAATGAGGACACAAGCTGTTACCCAGGCCAGAATCAACGTGATTAGCGGTTCAGTATGTCCGTTAGGGTCATCAGTGAGTGTGTGTGAGGTGAGATCTGGCCGTGTGTGTGTCAGGTGGGATCTGGCCGTGTGTGTGCTTGTGTGTGTGTGAGGTGAGATCTAGCCGTGTCTGTGTGTGAGGTGAGGTGAGATCTAGCCGTGTGTGTGTGTGTGTGTGTGTGTGTGAGCGTGTGTGCCTTCTTTTACAGTTCTCTGTTTTTTTCATAAAATGATTCATCATTCATGGAATCTGTTTTATTTCAGACGTTCAGAGCACATTTAAAAGTAACATTCCATAATGTTTGAAGAATGATACAATGTAATATTTCCTAAACGTTCAAATAACCAAGAAAAAAAATTTGAACATTAAGAGAACATTACGTTTTCATAATAACTTGACGAAAAAATGAGCAAAATGCTCTCAGAACATATTTCGTTAGTTGCGAAAACAGCGACACAACCACAGACGACTCACCGAAGCCCTGTTTGTGACATCACCCGTCTCGAGTGTGTCTGAAACAACACACTGATTTACAACAGTAAACATGTCATGTGACCTTCATCAGACACACACTCTCACCTCGGGTTCACGACCTCAGTGTAAATGCCTGGGTGTCGGATCGTGATGAATCGTCAGTTATTCTGAAGAAAACACTCTTGTTCTTCATCCTGCTGTCAGGAAGAGGAGGAGTTAGTGAAGAACATCATCTCACGCTCACTTTACACTTCTTTAAAACTCACTTTAGACATCATCTCACCTGCGGCGTTACGGACCCTTCCACTCATACTCACGTGTGGCATTGTTATCAGAGACCAAAATGCACCTCACACACACTCTCTCTCTCTCACACACACACGTTTCATACGTTACTGATGTGTTCTTGTGTTCTCCTGAGTCTCTGCAGCTCTGGTGTGTCTGAGACGATACTGAAGCCTCGGCCTTTACTCTCCTCAAAGTCCCGCTTATATCTCACCTGTAACACACACACACACCACAGCATCATGAGTACACATGCATGGAGCTGTAAAACACACACACACACACACACACATACATAAGGGATATGTACATCCAGATGGGTGACAGGGTGATCAGGATCAGGCCTTCATCAGCCTGAAGTTGTGTTTATTCTGAGATAACACACACACACACACACACCTGAAGGTGTTTATTCTGAGATCACTGTTGAGCTGTAACACACACAAACACTCTCTCACACACACACACACACACACACACACACACACTCTCTCTCTCTCACACACACACACACACACACACACACACACATCTGAAGGTGTTTATTCTGAGATAACAACCGGTTTAATGTGCATTATCCCGCTAATGAGAGCAGTTTCAGCGGCGAGTTCAAACTAGACGGACATTTACAGTAAGAGTTACGGTATTTAGTCAGAACCCTTATTACACAGCATTTCAACACATTACAGTTTTTCTCGATTGTTTACACACATTTCCTGCAAGTATGCCTCATACTCTCAGAACTTTACACACAAATCTAAAAACACTCACACAATCGGCAAAACCCCTCATTCTTGTGCAAAATGAAACTTTACATTCAAAACAATGTTATATATTCTCAAAATGTTATTTTGTTTTCAAATGACACACACAAACCATCATATGAATAGACATTTATAAGAACCAGTTGAACACTGATGTGCTCAATGGAAAACACTTCTTCTCCTTTCATCATAATGACTTGGGCCTTTTTTGTTCAGTGTTACACTTACTACAGACATTACATACATTAGTGTGTTGTAAAATAGTTGAGAATATTGTTTTTATACCCAGAACACACAAATACACGGTAACAAATATATTTTATTTTTCCCACAAAAACAATGGGAGATAGATCGAACATTTCATACACCCCAACCAACAAAAAGTTGCACATACAGTGGTCTACAAACAAAACAATAGAAAAAAATGTGTATGCTTTTACAGTACTGTAAAAAAAAAATCTATGCTGCATCCTCTCTTCAATTTTGGTATTTTATGCTAAAGCTCTGATTGCTAATTGTAAAACTGTGTGACGTGTTTTTGCCCATGTGACGAGTCAGAGTGAATATCTGAATGGGTGTTTGTTCCACATGAAAACAAGAGATTTTCTGCATGAAAATTGTGCCAAATGCAGATAATTTGTGTGTAGTGTTTTGAAAAAAATGTGTTTTATAACTGCAATTTGAGTGTAAAGCAAGAATTGTGCTTGTAGTTCAGGGGGTTGGTGAATGAGTTACATGTTGTGCTCATTGTGTCTCAAGTACCAGAATTTGTGTGTAAACAATTGAGAAAAACTGTAATATTCATGGAGATCAGAGATATTGATTTCAGATTCAAAATTAAAAAAAATCGTGCATGTTTTTATCTTATAATCCAACACTGTACAAAACAGCAGTCACAAACGAGAGCGAGTCCGCGATACTGAAATAACTGAGCACAAAATATTGATACGACAGAGTTGAATATTTCATTACCTCACCAAAAGCAAAACTTTCACAAAGAAAAAACGTTCCTAGTTTCTGTTCTCTGTTGTTATCTGGGAATAATAAACCGCTGGATGTGTGATTGACCAATCAGAATCAAGTATTCCACAGAGCCTGTAATAAACGAGTGAACTTACTGAGCATCACACACACACACACACACAACACTGTGATCTGTCTGATCACATCAACGGCCAAATGATTCTGAACCGTTCAAACACGACTCACTGCAGGTCTGAGATTCTGTGAGAGGACCAGCATCTGCTGTGTGTGCAGTCACCTTCTGTTAGCCCAGCGGGACACACACACACACACACACACACACACACACTGTTCCTCCCTGTACTGTACAGACCCGATCACACAGGCAAACACTCACTCTCTCTCACACACACACACATAGTTTCTGCCTGTACTGTACGGACTCAATCTCACAGACCCGTGACACAGTTTCAGCTCTGATGTAAACATACTCTCACACACACACACACACACACACACACACTTGGACTCAGAACGATCTGTTGGATGTCAGTGTGAATCTCACGGCTCAGTGAGTGAACAAACACGGCCATGACCTAAACTGCTTCACACACACACACACACACACACACACACACATACTTGGACTCAGAACGATCTGTGGGATGTCAGTGTGTATCTCACGGCTCAGAGAGCGAACAAACACGGCCATGACCTAAACTGCTTCACACACACACACACACACACACACACACATACTTGGACTCAGAACGATCTGTGGGATGTCAGTGTGTATCTCACGGCTCAGAGAGCGAACAAACACGGCCATGACCTAAGCGGCTTCACACACACACACACACACACACACACATACCAGAAACGTTCTGCATGCGGAAAAAGATCAAACATTTAATGATCCAGCAGTGACTGAGCTTCCAGAGTTCTGTGTTTGTGCGGGAACACTCATCACTGATCTGAGCCGTTCAGAAACTGGGTCATCTTTGAAGAATTCCATTATAAAACACAGATTTCTTTTTTTCATGCCAGAAATGATATTTTAAGCTGGGTTCTGCACATGTGAACGTGGATGTTAGAAGAGAGTGACACGGTGTTTGATGCGATCCTGAAATCATGAAGACAGAATGCTTGTCTAAAGTTCAGATCAAGTTATGAACATGTTATTTCTGAGTTTGCTCTGAAAACATCCCGTGTTTAAACATGTTTTTACTTGATTACACGAACGTCAAAGGAAAATTACATTCTACTAACATTATGGGACTGACACATGATCTGTAACACACGTGTCATATGATCTATAACACACATGTCGTGTGATTTTTAACGTGTGTGTCATATGGTCTGAGCTTATGGTCTGAACATATGGTGTCATGTGATCAATAACACGCATGTCATTTCTGAAACACGTGTCTGTTACAGTCTATAACATGCGTGTCATGTGATCGGTAACGTGTGTCATTTGGTCTGTAACGCGTGTCTGTTACACGGTCTATAACACGCGTGCCATGTGATCGGTAACACGCGTGTCATATGGTCTGTAACATGCATGTCATGTGCACTGTAACACGTGTCATGTGATCTGTAACGTGCGTGTCATGGGCTCTGAAACACGTGTGTCATGTGATCTGTAACACGTGTGTCGTGATCTGTAACACGTGTTATGTGATCTGTAAAGCGCGTCATGTGATTTGTAACACACGTCATGTAATTTGTAACACGCATTATGTGCTCTGTAACGTGTGTCATGTGATCTGTAACACGTGTGTCGTGATCTGTAACACGTGTCGTGATCTGTAAAGTGCGCCATGTGATTTGTAACACGCGTCATGTGCTTTGTAACACGCATTATGTGCTCTGTAACGTGCGTGTCATGTGCTTTGAAACACGTATGTCGTGATCTGTAACACGTGTCGTGATCTGTAAAGCGCGTCATGTGATTTGTAACACGCGTCATGTGATTTGTAACGCGCGTCATGTGATCTGTAACGTGCGTGTCATGTGCTCTGAAACACGTATGTCGTGATCTGTAACACGTGTTGTGGTCTGTAAAGCGCGTCATGTGATTTGTAACGCGCATCATGTGCTCTGTAACGTGCGTCATGTGATTTGTAACACGCGTCATGTGATTTGTAACGCGCGTCATGTGATCTGTAACGCGCGTCATGTGTTCTGTAACGCATGTCACGTGCTCTGAAACACGTGTGTCGTGATCTGTAAAGCGCGTCATGTGACTTGTAACGCGCGTCATGTGCTCTGTAACGCATGTCATGTGATCTGTAACGTGTGTCATGTGATCTTTTACACGCGTGTCATGTGATCTGTAATGTGACTCACCTGACTCTGTAACTCGCTCTGCTGTTTGAGACGCAGGTTCTCGGGTGTGTCTGTGACGATGGTGAACGACGTCTTGGGATAATGACTGAAAACAGAAGATGAAGACAGGATTACTCCATCGGATGTAGCACAGCACACGCGTGTCACATGGTCAACCGGCTCTGTTACATTCAGAGAACATGATTTACACTGTCAGACGCATGTAAGCTTTGGTTCTCTTGAACTGAATTGATCTGAATAATGATTCTACTGTCTGTTTTACTCAATTCGTCTCGTATTTGCTGAAGTTTGCAACACTGTTTATTACTGTGAAGCTGCTTTGAAACAATCTGTATAGTATAAAGTGCTGTAGAAATAAAGATAGCAATAAAAACCTCTGATCGGGTCCAGGTGAAGAACAGTAAAAGTTGTAATGTTTGGGTGGATTATTCCTTTAACACTAGACAAGAGCTAAAAATATGATGGTGAATGTGGTGAATAATCAGCGATAACCTTTCTGCTCTAATCACAGTTATAATAATCATCTCGTCAAACTCTGAAAATAAAACAATAGCTTTTCGTCATGACTTCACTGCTATTGTGTGATAAAAATAAAGCATGAATGCCCATTGAGTCAGCAGGACGTTTCCCCGGCGACACCTGACTCCGCCCCCAAACACACACAACCAATCAGCTCCTGATCCTCGAACATCACCCACTTATCCACAGGAAATGAGAACAGCAGGACAGGAAGTTCCTGTATCCTGAGAGAGAAAAACGACTCACCCCGCGTCTCAATGTTCCAGTGTGGATCCGTGCTCACTATAACAGTTGATATTACCCACAATCCACTGTACTTTGGAGGAGGAACTACAAAAACCAGTAAAAAGAGTTAAAAGACTACAATCATGGCGGATATATATGAGATAAAGGTTTGAGTGACTTTAATTTAATTAATTTCATCTGCAATAACAATGAGGACTTTTATAAAGATCCGTTTGGCCCTTAACTTTTAAATGCATCATTGATAACGCATTAATATGAGGCGAATCTCCGCATGAAAGACCCGCGACTCAGATCAGCGAGTTCCTGCGTTTCTCTACGATACGGCAGGAAATAAAACATGGAGGATTTCATGTGTGACGAGATGATTGACAGGCCAGTTTACGCTCCAGACGCAGTCGTATGACGGGATAGTGTTTCCCAGAGCTCGTCTACTCGTCAATACACACTCACGAGCACCGACAGAGAAACCGCAGCAGGTTAAATGAACTTTGATTCAGATGATGAATCAGTGAATCTGTCGCTGCATCAGATCTACAGTCTGAAAGTGTGTGTGTGTGTGTGACCATCATGCTGGTTCACTGACGCCACAGAGGCACTAATGAGAGTTTGTTTGTGTTTGTGTCCTAAACGCCGCCCTATAATTACAGCGAGCGAGCGAGAGACACGCTAACGAGTTCAGAGAGACACGCTAACATCTAACACACTCTCTTCTGCTCACCAAACTGCATTTACATGATCAGAAATACAGTAAATAGTATTCAGAGTCACATGATCCTGCAGAAATCGCTCTAATATGAGGATCTGATGATCGAGAAACATTTATGATTATTATCAGTGTTGGACACAGTTGAGCTGCTTCATATTTTTGTGGAAACTGTGAAACATTAATATTCAAGAGTGCTAATGTGACATTATTAAGATTTAAAAATATATCGAGGATAAATTAAATTGATTAAAGTGACAGTAAAGACATTTATAATGTTACAAAATATTATATTTCAAATATTAGCTGTTCTTTTGAACTTTCTACATCACAGAACGGCAGAAAGTTCATTTGAAGATTCACAGCATGAAGCAGTGACTGAGCAGAACTGAAGTGTGTGTGTGTGTGTGTGTGTGTGTGAGGAACAGGTCTTCTGAAGAGTTACTCTGGTCTCCACTAGCAACTGCTCCGTCTGTGTGAATCGTGACACTCGATCCAGAAGAACAAAAGCTGCTCTGTGGGACTGAAGATCTGCGTCTGAGCCAAAGAACACGACAGGACCAGTGACCACACACACACACACACACACACTCTCTCTCTCACACACACACACACACACACACACACACACTCTCTCTCTCTCTCACACACACACACACACACACTCTCTCTCTCTCACACACACACACACACACACCGCATTAAACATCAGTCAGACGATTCTAATAATTGTCAGTTGTGCATGAACATGAGTTGTGCAGAACATGAGTGTGAGTTTCTGTGTGTGTGTGTGTGTGTGTGTGTGTGTGTCCAGATCTGCATCGTAATGAAACGTTTCTCAGCGAGATCTCCCTCCGTTAATCAGTTCGGCTCATTCGTTCCTTCGTCACAGTAACGAGCGACATCACGTGTGAACACGCTTGAGTGAACCAGGAGAAGAGGTTTCCATAGCAACGGCCCACACACACACACACACACACACACACACAGCTAAATATATGAAACTCTTATGAAAAGCTGGAGAATAAAAGAATAATTTCATAAAGAAAGATCAGATAATCTGCGGTGAATCAGGAAGAGTTCAATAATTATAATAATCACAGAAGTCTAAATATACCATCAGAGATGTGTGTGTGTGACGCCTGCAGCACTTGGATCGACCCGCACACTCGACCTGAGTAGGTGCATGAACATATACACACACACACACACACACACACACACACTGTAGTGTCTATAGATACTGATCTATCAGACTGACTGTGAACTCAAGCTGCAGAATCTGCTGAAACACACACTCGCTCTCTCTAATGTCTCTCTATCATTTCGGCCTGATTCTAATGAGTGTTTGAGATGATTCCTCCACCACACACACACACACACACACACACAGTGATGCGTGAAACTGTCTTCTATTATATAATTCAACACGCATGTGATATGAGCTGCATTATATAAAGATCAAAGAGAAACGCTGCTGCATTAATCAACATCATTCTAGCAGCTGTGGGCCGTCGCCGGGGTGTAGCTAGGGTGTTGCCAGGGTGTAGCCAGGGTGTTGTGGGAGGTTTATTGCTGTACATTTGCTAGATGAACAGAACCTGACCAGTGTCACTTCTGCTGCTCTCCCTGATCTGCATAATCACTCCATCATTCATTGAAGAAAATGACCAGAAAACTGAACAAAAGAGAGCAGTAAATCAGCTTCATCCCTTCATCTCTTCATCATCCCTTCATCTCTTCATCCCTTCATCTCTTCTTCACTTTATCTCTTTATTCCTTCATCTCTTCATCCCTTCATCTCTTCTTCACTTTATCTCTTTATTCCTTCATCTCTTCATTATCACTTCATCTCTTATTTTTCTTCATCATCTCTCATCATCTCTTCATCATCACTTCATCTCTTCATCCCTTCATCAATTCATCTCTTCTTTACCTCGTCTCTTCATCCCTTCATCATCCCTTCATCTCTTCTTCACTTTATCTCTTTATTCCTTCATCTCTTCATCAACACTTCATCTCTTCATCCCTTCATCAATTCATCTCTTCTTCACCTCATCTCTTCATCATCACTTCATCCCTTCATCTCTTCTTCACTTTATCTCTTTATTTCTTCATCTCTTCATCATCACTTTATCTCTTCACCCCTTCATCAATTCATCTCTTCTTTTCTTCATCATCTCTTCATCTCTTCATCCCTTCATCATCCCTTCATCCCTTCATGAATCTGTCAGAGTTAGGGAGAGCAGGAGCAGAGCCACGACTGTAACGTCAGACTCTTCAATCCTGAGAGTCACTGAGTCGAACTGCTTCACAAATAACAAGATCAAACCACGACGGGCGAAAGGTCACGACAACCTGACATTTAAACACAATCAACAGCACATAAAGAAAAGGCCACCGGACCATGTGCTGGAGGTCGAGGTGTGTGTGTGTGTGTGTGAACAGCATCAGCACTGATGAAATGTTTCCCAGAATCTTCATCTTCACTGACATCTTGTGTGTGTGACTGACATCTCATGTGTGTAACACACTCACGCGTTACAGTAGGGCTTCTTGTCGTAGCCTTTGTAGTTCTTCATGTTGAGCGTCATCTTACACACTTCACAGTGGAAACAGCCTTTGTGCCAGTTCTGCACACAACAAACACACACACACACACACACACACTGTTTTAGTCACCAACACAAATGAAGAGTTGCGGACATCAGAGACTTCACGACATCATCAACTTCAGATCGATAATATTAATTCATGTAATATTATTTAGTGTTTAGTGATGGTTTGAGACTATATGGTATTCTGACAGATGTGATGTTCGAGTTCTGTGATGTCGTATCACTGTGGTATAGTGTCCAAAACAACTCAGTTTTTGTCATTACAGCAATACAAAAATTTTTTTATTTTCTTTATTTAGTATAAAATACTCCACAGAACAAGCTCTTATAATGTCGCTCAGCACAGTAAGACTATGAATAAAACATGAAGCTCATTATGTAAGACATGAATGAGAATTCAAAGCAGCGAAACAGAGATAAACCATAAACAGAGTAAAGTTGATTTACACACTGCTGTAATAATACTAGATCTGATCATGTTACGGGGTTCACACTCAGCCCGAGGTTTGCAGCTCTAGATGAAGTTCTGACAGTAGTTGTGTTTGTGTTGGAGTAAATATGGAGTAAATATGGAGTAAATAAGTGTCACCTTGTCGAGGCAGCTGATCTTCTCCGTCGGGTACACGGTTCTCGCGCAGCGCGCGCACGCGGGATTCATCTTCGGTTCCGATCCAGTTCTGGGGCAAACAGAAGATCCACAGATCAGTGTGTTCAGTGTGTGTGTGTGTGTGTGTGTGTAAGTGTGTGTGTTCAGCTGCTCACTGATGAAGAGCATCACAGGCACTGGAGCTCAGTCTCCCGATGTGTTCAGTGCGCGCGCGCCCGTGTGTGTGTGTGTGTGTGTGTGTGTGGGAGGGGGGGTTCGTTTACTCAGTAAAGTATAGGCTATACACATTATAAAGACAACATAATGCCAGAGTCTAAATCTAGTTAGCATGTTTTGGCATCCAAACGCGTCACGTGATATTCGGAACGAGTCAATCTGAAAGTGTCTGAAAGTCAATCTGAAAGTCAATCTCAAAGTGAAACAACAACAACAACAACAACAACAGCTTAAAAGCAAACTCAAGCATGAATAAATCACTAGGTTTAAAGTCACCGCAAACTGTTGAGATTGAGTGAGAGTTTGTGTCAGTAATTCTCATTAGTGCGAGTTATGGCAAGCCAATTAAATCATTCACATGATTTTTACTCAACAGTTCAGTTTTCACTGGTTAAAATTATCATTCTTTAAATCAGAAAAGTAATTTAGAGAGAGAGAGAGAGAGAGACTTTTTTTACAACTCTTTATTAAAACATGTCCTAAAAACACTAAAGAACAATGTATTTCAATGTAGACATACTGCTACAATCAGCAAATACGAAGAGAGAAAAAATAAAAATAAAAATGAAAATAAAAAAATAAAATAAAATAGAAAAAAAATCTTAAAAATGACCATTAGACATCACCAATTAAACACTATAGTTTCATCTTCACATTATGACAATAAAGCACCATTCACACACCATTTAGACTCAAATTCAAGTAAGTTTTTGGTGATTTGATAAAATGTATGTTCCAGTCTGATTCTTGATTCAACCAAGGCAGTGAACATCTTCAGCACGCTCATATCTCTCCCCTCAGCAGCCATTCTGCAAGTCTTCCAAATGGCTAATTTAGCTTGACCAACTGCGAAATTTGCCAAGGTACACTGTTCTCTGTGTGTTTTTCAATACTTGCATGAAGTTGCATCCATAAATAAAAAATGTCTTGTTAAAACAAAACCCTAGACGTATTCTTTCCAGTAAGGTGAACAGTGATGCCTAGGACATTCAACAAAAACATGGAACACAGTCTCTGGTTTAGTACAAAAATTGCAGAATGATAAAACAGCCGGATATTAAACTTAGAAACAAAACGATTTGTAGGTAACACACAGTGCAATATTCTACACTGCAAGTCCCCAGATCGTTTTGGAAGGGGACTTTTATACAACAGTCTCCAAGAGGGAGCAAGATCATCAGAATTCATAAAATACTCTCTCCATTTTGTATCACATCTCTATGGATGTGTGTGTGTGTGTGTGTGTGTGTGAGAGAGAGAGAGAGAGAGAGAGAGAGAGAGAGAGAGAGAGAGAGAGAGAGAGAGAGAGAGTATTCTCATCTGTTAGGACCGGTTTGAGATCAGTGGATTGAGGGATCAGTTGATGTACCTAACAGACGTTTTGTAATTTGCTACAAACAGACATATGTCATCCAATGTTTTGTGTGCTTTCTTTGCAAATTAAATAAAGAGAAAACATTTCTTTTGATTCATGCTGTAACTCTAAAATTACTCCTAACTTTGTTCACCATTATTCAGTAATCATTCGAGATGATTCTTGTGAAGGACAATTATCAGTATTATTATTTTTATTGCATAAATTAATTATGTTAAATATGAGTTTACTAATTAAAAAAGTCTTCAATGGAGTGAAAATCTTAAACCGGTCATCCGCTCCGCTCAGTGTATCTGTATGCCAAGTGATATGAGCTGTCAGCGCATTAATATATTCAATATATATTAATATATATATATATATATATATATATATATATATATTATATATATATTATATATATTTAATATTTAGATTTATTAATATGGAATTTTGCAAGTAATAAGATGACTGTGATGCTCTATGAAGCATCACAGTCATCTTATTACTTGCAAAATTCCATATTCATAAATCTAAATGCCAAACCTCTCTTTCTTATATTTGTGAAAGAACTTGAAAAGTATATATTTTCAATTAAGTTGTCTGAAAATAAGAAAGCCTTAAAAACATTATCTGTATGTAATTCCTTTCCTTTTTTTCTGTGTCATGTAATTTTACCCCATTATTATTTTATTATTATTATTATTTTGTATTATTTTTTGTTTTTTTATGTTTGTATTCTGTTATACTTGTGTATTGTGTTAAGCAATAATAAAAAAAAGTAAAAAAAAAAGCATCACAGTCCCGCCCTCAGCCGGTTCCGGAAGTAAAAATTCAAAACAATTTCTCCATTGACATTTGGGATATAAGACATAAAAACGTAACCATACATGGTAGACTTAAAACCAGCTACGGCTGTACTAAGTGATTGTATATGCTCATATAAACGCCAAAAGATCATGGGGCACGAATCTTGTTTTAATATAAATCCCTTTTATTCGCGATGTACTTCATTAACCACAATCCTGAACAGTCCCACAATCCCACAGTGATGCATCTGATTGGTGGAAGTCGTGTCACGTGTGCTGTGGGCGAGACTGTGATGCTCTATGCGTCATGCGAGAGCGGGAATTTACAACCGTCACTGAATTTTCTCCTCAGGTTTCTTAAAGATGATATTTGACGATAAAATACTTTTATAGTTCTTAAAGTACATAGCTTGCGTTGATATTCAATTAAATCGAATATAGATGTTCATATTTGTACATTTTAAAATTTGAACTGCTCGTTTTTTTTATTCAGGAGATGCAAACAGCTTAGGCCTACAGACAAAATGTCAGACGTGGCCACGGTATGTATTTACACCATATCTCATTGCTTAGAACTAAATTAAGCGGTTAAAGTGCTTAATTATGTTGTATAATGTAACGTTAGCTAACAGTGCTATTGATGAGGTGACATAATGTACTCATGGTGATTTGATCGCCATAAAGACGTGAATTTTACTTGAACTGACCCGTGATTTGACTAGTATGACGTTAACGTTACACATTTAGGTCTAACCTCAGAATATACTGTCTACAAAATATTTGTTAAACAAATATATTTATCACAGGCTATTTTCACTTGAGGAAAATCCACAAATGTCAAAGTAAATGAGGAAACGCGTCTCCTGAGCTCATTTAGGACACATCACGATTTACAAAGGTAAGAAAAAAGGTAAGCTACAAACGATAAAAAAATGTTCGACAAAATTTAACATCTAGTCATCAACATTAGACGTTTATGTTGGTTTATTCGTCAGGTGCCAATGTCATCTTGTGCCATCGGCCAGTGTTGATGTCCGATTTGCGAAGAGACCCTGTTGAACAGGTTATTTTTGTCTGTTAAAGTGATTCAGAAAACACTCTTGGTTTGAATCACAGGCTGTGT